GCAGGTTGTGAGCTTCAGTATAACTTGGTCACAAGTTGATCACAGTGGAGTATCTGACCAAGAAATACAAGCCTGACATACATGGGAAATCCATGAGGTCTCCCCCAGCACAACTGCATCAAATAGACAACTTGGCCTTCAAGTATTAGTTATCGTGTAAAATGAGGATAACAGTAACTCATGCCCCATAGCACTCCTGCAGGATTTCAAGAGTCAGAACTGAGATCAAATAAATACTTAATAAAGTTTTAAATAGTTAAACAATTTAGAAAGAAATTGCATCCTATGTCTTCCTCTATACAGAAATTAGTTCTGGGTGAATTCAAGAATAGAAGATAAAAATTCAAGAAAATGTCAGAGTCAGCTTGCCATAGAAGCCTGATAACCTGGAACCTATGTAAACAGATGGAACAAGAAAGTCAACTCCACAAAGTTGTTCTATGACCTCCCCTTGTACATACGTGTAGATACACGCACTCACACACACACACCATATACACACACAACACCAACAAAATTAAAATATAAATAAAATGAGCTTTGATCCTCCAAAAAGAGAAAGAAAAAGTCAAGGCTAGGAACACGGTCTGAGCAACCCATGTAGTTTGTAACAACCAGCGCTCACCAAGAATGCCATTCCGCACATCTCTGAGACATTTGAAGGGAGAAGAACTTCCAAAAGGTAAAAATGACAAGAACTGAAAACAGAGAAGAGCTATCCTACAACCCCTAAAATAAGTCAGGGACTCCAGTAGAGAGCCAATTTGACCCCAACTCCATAAGACATTATGTCCTAGTAACCTTTTCAGAAGCAAAAAATGCTAAACCCAGGCCCAAGGTTTTCAGAATTACACCTATCAAATACACTATGTTCAAACAAACTGAGAAGGAAAACTTCCTGAGAGACCACACTACGGAGATCAAGTTAGAGAAATCCACAAACATAAGCAGCAAGATAGACAAGGATAGTCAGACAGATACATAGACAAAATAATCCTTGTCTACTCAGGGCAGCATGGTTTGACAAGGTAAGAGCTGGTAAACCAGTCAGGAAGAAAGGCAAGTAGGCAAGAAAAAGAGAGCAGGAAAGAAGGGAGGGAAGGTGAGGGAGAGGGAAGAGGGGGCGAGAGGAGGGGGGCACACAGGTAAAAAGAAAATTAAACAACTTAAATACTCTTAAAAAAATGTTCTGATATAATCAACAGTAAAAATAAGTGTGTACAAGAACCAGTCTTGGGGGGCTGGAGAGATGGCTCAGTGGTTAAGAGCATTGCCTGCTCTTCCAAAGGTCCTGAGTTCAATTCCCGGCAACCACATGGTGGCTCACAACCATCTGTAATGAGGTCTGGTGCCCTCTTCTGGCCTGCAGACATACACACAGACAGAATATTGTATACATAATAAATAAATAAATAAATATTAAAAAAAAAAATAAAGAACCAGTCTTAAGCAGGGCGCACATCTGCCTTTAGTCCCAGCACTCAGGAGGCAGATCTCTGTGAGCTTGAGGCCAGTTTGGTTCACAAAGCAAGTTCCAGGACAGCCAGGACTGATACACAGAGAAACCCTGTCTTAAGAAACAAGAACAAACCAGGCCATGGTGGCACACATACCTTTAATCCCAGCACTTGGAAGGCAGAAGCAGGCATATTCTGTTAGTTCAAGGCCAGCCTGTACAGAGCTAGTTCCAAAACAGGTTCCAAAGCTACAGAGAAACCCTGTCTCGAAAGGAAAAAAACAAAAACAAAATGATAAATCTTAGCAGTATAAGAAGTGAAAACCTTCCAATTGCAAAAGGTTATGTACAATCAGATCCCTTTCCTTTTTTTTCAAAACAGGGTTTCTCTGTAGCTTTGGAACCTGTCCTGGAACTAGCTCTTGTAGACCAGGCTGGCCTCGAACTCACAGAGATCTGCCTGCCTCTGTCTCCTGAGTGCTGGGATTAAAAGGGAGCACCACCACTGCCCAGCTTTTTTTTGTTTTTGTTATTTTTTTTTTTTCAAGAGAGGGGTTCTTTGTGTAACAATCCTGGCTGTCCTGGAATTCACTTTTTAAACCAGGCTGGCCTCGGACTCATCAAAATACACCTGCCTCTACCTCCCATGTGCTAGGATTAAAGGTGTGCACCACCACTGCCCAGGAGAGTCCTTTCTTTTAACATAGAAAGATCTAAATGCACTGTTTAAAAATATACACACACAAGATAACACTTCAACAAGACTTAAAGCCTATACATCAGGCAGATGTTTCCCTTGAATCTGGCAGAGCACTAAAATTAGGAGGCTAAATGAGACAACCTCCTACCTCCTAAATTGGGGTGGTAGATTTAAATGTGTTTGTTTTCATTTTTTAATACGTCTTTTTATGTGTGGGGGGGATAGGTAGCTGTATATGTATGCGCACCACATGCATGTAGGAGCCTGAAGAACTCAGAAGAGGCATCAGATTCCCAGGAACTGGAATTACAGACATTGAGTCACCATGTAGGTGTTGGGAACTGAACACAGGTCTTCTACCAAACCACAAGTGCTCTTAACTGCTGAGCCATCTCTCCAACACTCATTTTATTTTCACCATAATGCATGACTTTTAATGCATTCTTACATTTGTGTGTGGTGGGGGGGAAGGGATGGAGGGAGAGAGGGAAGGAGGGAGAGAGAGTCCCATATGTGGAGGTTGTTATGCCCAGATCAGAGTCCCCCCCAAAACCAACTAGGATACCAAGTCCTGTATGTTAAAGCAAAGAGCCTTCATTCTTACACAAGTTTGCAAACTTGGACCCTCCGTGTGTCCAGCATATGGGAATGATAGAGAAGGCCCTCAAGCTCAGTTGGGGTTGGGTTTTTATAGTAGCAAAGGTGGGGGTGAGGGATCCCTAAGGTTCAGGACCCTGATTGGCTGGCTGACATTTGTCTAGGGGTGTCCTGGTGAAAAGCCAAGGGTGTGGGCTGGCAGGTGACCCTATCTACAACATAGGACCGTTAGGAATTTCCTTTGGAAGGTCAGTTCCTGGGTGGGTAGTGCCTGGGTGGTCTCAGTAAGTGGTCTTAACAGGAACCAGGTATTGCCCTAGGGTAAACTACTGAGACTCAGGCCTCCAGTGAGCTGGTAGTGGCTAGGTCCTACAGAGGTCAGAGGCTCAGTTCTCTCTTTCCACCACGTGGATGCCAGGGATCAAACCCAAACTGTCAGACTCTAGTAGCAAGTGCTGTTATCCCCTGAGCCATTTTGCTGAGCCCAAACTGTAGCGTTTCGATTCCTTTTGTTTTTTGAGGCAAGGACTCCAGAGCACTGGAAGTGCTGGGAAGACAGGAAGGCATCAGCAGCCTAACAATTGTTATCTTTGTGTGGAGCTGAGGACTAAACCCAGAGCAAACCCTGCATAAGAACTATTTGCCCTCAGTATTTTGCATATTACATACATAGGCGCAGACACTCAATATGCGATCCTAGAAAGCAACAACTCAGTATGAAATAAAAGCAGCTACATAGTGTTCAAGGCTCTATGACACACCACCTTGTCTCAAACAAAATAAAGATACATAGGGGCTAGAAATGTATGACTTTGGAATGTATAACTTTCCTTCAAGTAGCAGCGTCTTAATATCAAGGTGTACATCTTTTCTAGGTATCTAAATGCACTAATTACTGCTACAGCAAACAATGATACAATCACAATGTGGTTTTCTGCTTTTAGAACCAACCTATAAACAAAGCTCAGGATATTTAATTATAGCTCCCTTATACACTGCCAATGCCACCAAACCTTGCTTCGTTTTTTAGAAGTTATATAACTTCATAATACATTGCTATAAATTAAAGAAAAATACCGTCCTTCAAGCTAAATTGTCAACGCTACAAATTTTTATTTTAAAATACAGGAACTGGAGAGATGGCTCCTTGTGTTATAAGTTTAAATTTTTAATCACATAAAAAGCCAGGCATGGATGCACGTACCTGCAATCCCAGAATTAGGGGATGAAGATCCCCAGCGCTCACTGGCCCGCTAGCCTAACCTAAAAGGAAAGCTTGGGGCATTCCGGTGCTGGCGGCTCCTGTTCGCGGGTCAAACGGCCGGAACCCGCCACCACCCGGGCCGGGGCCGGATGAAGGGAGTGCGGGCGCGCGAGGTAAGGGACCACGCTTCGCCGCCACCCGCAAGAGAACTTTAAAACACGGGTGTCTCCCCTGAGGCCGGCGACCGTCCGGACCGATTCACAACGTGAAGATCCCGCGCGCTTCTACCTACTGACCAATCGCAGAACGAGTTGCGCAGAGTGACAAGCGACACGAACCAACCAGACACCCCTATGGGCGGGCCTCAGTGAAAGCGAGCGGCTGAGCGCGCGCAATGGTTGCTAGGGACTCACCGGCCACCACCCTACCGCGCCTCCGAAGAGCCAAAAGAGACCCGTTTCTCTGTCGCCCTCCCACCCCACCCCCAAGGGACTGCCGTTTACTCCCAGAGCGGACCAAGAACGCAGCCCGCCTTTCGACAGCCACATTCTCAAGGAGGGCGGGGGATGAGCGGAAGCGGACGACGCGGAGTGAGGTGGAAGCGGCAAACGTGCGCCCCCCGAGCCGGACCGCGGCCGCCCCTCCCTCCTGCTCTGAGCATCCGCGAAAACCCCGTGGCACAAGTCAGTCAACGCGCAAGCGCGGAATAAAGCCCTCTTCCCGGCCTACCGACCCGTCGTGCAGACACACATCAGCGAGGCTCCCGAGGTCGCGGATGCAAGTCTCACCTGCCTCATCTGTGGCCGGTAGCGCTCTCCTGACCGCCGTACCTCCACGCCTCCGAAAGTCGACATGGTGGTTTGGGCGAACCCGCAAGTTTGAAGTAGCTCCCATGCTTCCTGATGCCTTGCCGGGAAGTTGCCCTGCTCGCCTAGACGCCTCTCACTTACACCTAGCTCAGGTGGAGCCGGCGCCTACGGGAACTACAACTCCCATGAAGCACTGCGTTCACGCAAGCGCGTCAACTCGCGCTTCTATGCTCGGTTTTATTGGCTGACTGACAGGGCCGGGAGTCCCGATTGGTCCATGGCCTGAGGCGACAGATTCCGGAAAGGGGTAGAGCAGCCAATATGGCGGCGGAGCGCGGCGCGGGGCAGCAACAGTCGCAGGAGATGATGGAGGGTGAGCGGCCCCTGCGGGCGACCGGGGAGCGGCGAGCTTGGGCTTGGGCGGCACGGCCTTTTGCCAGATCGGAGCTCGGCCTCCAGCCATAGCCTCAGATCTCTGTCAGCTGCCAACCCGGCTGGACGGGGCGGAGAGGCTCAGAGCCCGGGAGCCCCGGCCCGAGGGCGGCAGCGGGCAAGGAAAACCGGAGCCCCGGGAACAACGTGGCGCGAGCCCGCCCAGGAAAGGGGGACGGACGAGGAAGCGGCGGCTATGGGAACCTAGTCTTAAAGCTCCGAGATTGACAGGCGAGGAGGCGGGGGACTGTCCTCTGTCAGCTCATTGGGAAACTGAGGTTTCAGGCGTGGGGACCTGCCAAATCCATAGTTGTTCACGAGGCATGGATGGAAAAGAGTCTGCTCGGGAAGCGAATGGGTTGTGGCAGAGCGATGGGTGGCAAGGAGGTCCGGAGATTGTTTACGAGGCGGTGTCTTGTTTTCTTTACGTTCAGAATCTTGGAAGGACTAAATTCAACTTTCTTCCCTTTTTCATTGTGTTGAATTGTGTCATCATATACATACATACATACATACATACATATGTATTACATATGAGCATGTTTTTGTACACAGTTGTTAGATACATAATCATTACATTGTGCATATGTGTGTATGCATATATATAGCAGTGTGTGTGCGCGCACACACACATTCGTATACTACCCATTGTAGCATCCGGCGAATCTGAACCCTTAAATGCCATTTAAAGCCTCCTCTATTTTGGTGAGTTTTCCTTCTGGAAGAACAGTCACGCAGTCACTCTTCTGAGAAGATTGCTAGGGAAGAGGGTTGCAGAGCAAGGAACAAGAGTGTTGGAAGAAAAGTCCAGTGTGTTTAAGAGTGGTGATGCTGCCCTGGGGTTGGGCTTTGAAGGCTCTCTAGATGTCATCCAGGCTGGGGGCAGGTGGGGAGGACCATTCCAGAGAAAGGAAACCCAGTCCAAAGCAAAGGAGTGTGGAAAAGAGTTTGACCTAAATTAACAGTCAGATGAGCCGGGGGTTGGGAAGAGCCGGCAAGGCTTCCCAGAAAAGATTATGGAGAGCCTGAAAAGGGAGTCATGCTGGGGCTTTCTTTACCTTTGAATCTTTTCAAAGCAAGGAAATGCTTCTTCCTACCTCACCCTTCCCTCCTCCAGTACCTTTCTCCCCCTCCTTCTCTGCTTCTCAGTAAAGTGCAAACACAAAAGCCAGGCTCTTCTCTCTCTCACTCCCACACGTCATTACCAGCTGACACTTGTATTTCTATAGCCTCGTGTCTTTTGGCGTGGAGGGGTTTGGGGTTTGTTTGTTTGGTTGGTTGGTTGGTTTTTTGTGGGGTTGGTTTGTTTGTTAGGGTCTCACTATGTAGCTTTGGCTGGCCTGGAGTTTGCTATGCAGACCAGGCTGACCTAGAACTCAGAGATCTACCCATGTCAGTCTGCCAGAGTGCTGGAATTAAAGGCATGCACCTCCATGCTTAGCTCCATATTTTGTCATCTTAAGTCAGACCTTCCTCCTCCTGATATATTTTCCTTTTTGTTAGACTGTCATCCCCAGGGCCACACAGTCACATTTTTGCACACTGTCCCAAACTGTAGAACCTCTGCTGACCTGAGGATAAAGGCACAGGTTGCAGCAACTGTCCCTTCTGTCCTCTGGTTCCTCAGAGACTGCTACACTGAACCTAGTTTCCCTAATCCTGGATCACAGATTGTTGTGTGCCTCTTGGTAACTCATACATTCTCCATGTCCTTCACACAGGCCACTCTTGTGTCCTTTCTCATTTGGTCCTGATGGAGGTCTGGGGAGTGTACTCCCCTAACTCTCTTCTACAGATACGAAAATTGAGGTTTAGAAAAGATCATTCGTCAGAGCCACGTGTCATTGTTGCTTTCTCACAGTCTGCTTATTTACTCTGAAAAGCTTTGCATTGGTAACATTGTCATGTGATCTTTTCACATCAGTAGGTTACCTGGCATCTGGCACTTGAGACAGATTCTCATTTTCATTGGAGCTCCTCCCTGCCCCCAGTCTGGTTTTAGCTAGCCTTGATTTCTTTCAGAATGTGGGGCCCTGTAAATTGAACCAGTTTTTCATGGCCAAATGGATAGTGGGACATCAATGAAGGTATGTGGTAGAGGGATCACAGTGGTCCCCTCTCATGGTGGACATCAGGTCAGCTGGGAGAGTCACCTGGAAGGTTCTTCACTATGTGGTACCATTACTGTTCCTGATCACAGGTGGCCTAGAGGCTTTTGGAACACTTGGCAGTTCTTTCCAAGCTCTTGGAGGGGAAGCACAACTTGTTAGTTGTGTCCATGTGTCCTCTCGGGTCCTGTCTCTGTGTCTTAAATAGTGCTGGGACATAGAAGACATTCAAGTGTTCATATAAACTGAATTCAACTATTTCAGAAAGAAGTCTTGCTGAGTTACAACTTGTGGTAATCTGTTCTCTGTTCCTCAAATGGTCACATGAAGTGGATGTGAATTCTCACTGATGTGTTTGGGTTCAGTTGACAGGCGGGTTGAATCTGAAGAATCAGGTGATGAGGAAGGGAAGAAGCACGGTGGTGGCATCGTGACAGACCTCAGCCAGCAGAGCCTGAAGGATGGAGTAGAACAAGGGGCGGAAGACCCCGAAGGTACTGGGCATGGTTAACCTTGAACTCACTATTGAGGGGGGAGTGTGCTGTTGAAGGTTGCTGCTTCTTTGCACGTGATGTCTCCTCATGGAAGCAGTTGTGTTCTTCAAAGGTCCCCAGTAGATTGGGTAGCTGGGCATGCTGGCAGAGGGCAGCCTGCTCTCTGCGGTGCTGCCTCAGCAACTAGCGGATTTACATTTATGGGTAGATCCATTTCTGCTGAAGAGACAGTGCTACTACTGATGATATTGGCACTAATGTGTCACTTAGAGCAGAGCCAGAAAATGGTTTTTTAATCCTTTACTCAGAAAGTAGAATTTGAAGAGAGCATAGTGATTGACTGCTATGCTTCTGTACCTGCCACAGTGATGAGAAATCACTTCTTGTCCATCCTTGACATTTCTTATTTGAGACAGGATCTCACTATGTAGCCAGGCTGGTCTTGAAACCATTATGTAGCCCAGGCTGGCCTCAAACTCAGAGATCTGCCTGCCGATGCCTCCTAAGGATATGTGCTACTGTGCCTACATCCACCTCGATACTCATCTAGGTCTGAGAGACACCTGTTACAAGCATAGATGTTAGGGAGATCATTCCATTTGGAACTAAGCAGCTTCCTATGGTGGGTTTTTTGTTTGTTTGTTTTGGTTTTTTTTGTTTGTTTGTTTGTTTTTTGGGTTTTTTTTGGTTTTTTGAGACAGGGTTTCTCTGTGGTTTTGGTGCCTGTCCTAGAACTAGCTCTTGTAGACCAGGCTGGTCTCGAACTCACAGAGATCCGCCTGCCTCTGCCTCCCAAGTGCTGGGATTAAAGGCGTGGGCCACCACCACCCGGCTTCCTATGGTGGTTTTATATCCTCCTCAGTAATGGCCTATGCTTACATGTTTGCTCAAAAAATCAGTTTACATGGAAAAGAATGACAGAAAATATATAACGACAGGAAAATGTCTCAGCTGAATTGTTGGGGGGACAAATTTGTAAGTAGGATGTATCTTAAAATATGACTTTTAGTTAAAAAGCATGAGTATTTAATTTTACCTGCTTAAAAAGAAAACACATTAGCATTGCTGAGGGTCTCTTTTAACAGAAGACTTGAGAGGAAGCTGCCTCTTATGATTTTTCAGATTTGTATGGATTTTTCAGGTATTCATAATTATGCATTACCTTTATAAAAATAAATTTGCAAAAACAGCTACTTTTTAAAATAGCATTGCTCACTGTGTGCCAGCAAAGATGATTGGTAACTATGGTAACCAAATTTTAAGGCAAAAGGAGATTACCACAAAAGTACCCACCACAGTTAGTTTGGAACTTCAGAGCTGATATTCTGGAGGTGATGTGGGTGGATAAAGCAAATGGGCGCTGTCATCATCATTTGATTTAGTCACGGAAGGGCTGAGATCTATGCCACTGAAATATTAGGCTACCTGGAAGACTTGGAAGTTAGAGCAGCATGATCCTAGGCTTTGTTTCCTGTTTGTTACTGTAATGGGTTTCTCACTGTAAAAGAACCCTAATGTGTGATAGGTGCGGAGAGTAAAAGTCCCATGTTAGCCAGAGATCCCTACTGCAAGGCAGGCCAGTTGGGCTAGAGCCCAGCTTACTAAAGTCCATGCTCTTGCCTCCAGGTGACTAGAACACATAGTAATTCTCTGGGAACATGTATTTCTACTCCTTAAAAATCTGGAACTGCTCATACTTACATAAGTTTCAGCAGAAGACATTCAAACGTCAATCATTACCTTCCTATTTTTCCTAACTTATGTATGTTTATATACATTTCACATTAATGAGGTGTATATGTATACCGGTATGTATGTATGTATGTATGTATGTATGTATGTATGTATGTAGATGCCAGAAGACAGACTCAGGTGTTGTTCCTCAGTTTACTGTTTTTGAGACAAGGCCTCTTACTGGCCTAGAAATGGCCATTTACACTGGACTGACTGCAGCAAGCCCACATGTTTGAATTTCTCAAGTACTGGGGTTACAAGTATACCATCATGCTCAACGTTTTTATGTGTGTTCCAGAGATCTAACTCAGGTCCTGGGCTTACACAACCCCTTCACTAAGTTATCTCCCAACCCCTCTTCCCCCAGCTCTTTTTCTTCATTACTAAGGATTGAACCCAGGGCCTCCTTACACCTGCTATACAAGACTCTACAGCTGAGCTATATCCCTAGACCCTTACTTTAAAAATTGCAACTATGATACTTTCAAAAGTTTGTTCCGCCAGGCGGTGGTGGTGTGCGCCTTTAATCTTAGCACTCAGGAGGCAGAGGCAGGTGAATTTCTGTGAGTTTGAGGCCAGCCTGGTCTACAAGAGCGAGTTCCAGGACAGGCTCCAAAGCTACAGAGAAACCCTGTCTCGGGGGGGAAAAAACACCAAACCAGAAGTTTGTTCCAGTTGGTAACTTTATTCCAGGTTAAGCTGGTGTTTCAAGAAGGGACAGGAACAACCCATGCTGGATGCTGTTGTTAGACAGGAAATTTGGGGCTGTGCAGCACATATCCTAAGAAGCCTAGGAGAGCCCCATTTCTAACCCAGCCCAGTGTGGCTGCTGGTTGTGCCTACTTTTAGTCTTCGTGTCTGGTTTGGACATCAGTGGCCTGACTACTTGCCTTAGCTACAGTGCCTTCCTGTCACAACTTCCTGAGCTCATGGATGGTGAATTACTGCTTTTTTTTTTTTTTTTTAGAGGATAAGGGGACTCTTGTAATGTCTTCTTGTTTGTCTAATTCCTTTTATTTAATACCAGATTAGTTCATATACTATAAATTATAGGTAAACAACAAAAGTAACATTTTAGTTGGGTACTGTTGACTGCTGTAGAGAAGATATCATAGAAAGTCAGTGAAGTGAATGGCCAGTTCTTCTTTGTTATTAAGCTGGTCCCTTGCCACATGCTTCTCTCTAAGGCCTCCAATGAAAAAACAGGCTGACCAGCACATAGTCTGCTAATGTTTGGAGGAGCCAGATATGGGCTGAGGTCAAGAGTGCGTAAGCTGGCTCTACTATAGATGCAAGTGCATGTTTGCACTAAGGAAAAGAAACACAGGAAAAGGGAGCCTAGGGAAAAAAATAGTAATAAGTGATAAGAAGTTAAAGGAAATAGAGGCGAGAGTATTCTGGGACAAAACAGTTTAGACTCAAAGAAGCAATCAAAAAAAGCAGTCTGTTTCCTTCCTACAGAAAGTTTCAAGATAAAAAATATCTTAAGGGAAACACCATCTATGAAGCCATGCAGCTAGGTGGTACTTATATATCATCCCAGCATCTGGGACCTGAAGCATTAGTATTAAAAATTCAAGGCTAAGGGGCTGGAGAGATTGCTTAGTTGTTAAGAGCACTGGCTGCTCTTCCAAAAGACATGGATTCAATTCCCAGCACCCACATGTCAGCTCACAAGCACCTTGTAATTCTAGGTCCAGGGGACCCTCTACTGGTCTTTCAATTGGTGGACCGACGTACCTGTAGACAAAGCACCCGAGTACATAAAATAAAGATTTAAACAAGTTCAAGACCAGCCTGAGCTACAGAATGAATCCGAGGCTGAGAAAGGGGGTGGGGCAGGAATCCAGTCAAAATAGCTTTATTTGGATGTCAGTGGCTACAAAATAAGGGGAAAAACTATAAGACCACTAGGGAAAGTAGATGACACTTTGGTAATAAAGGGAAATGCTGTTGATCTCAAGTGTTTTGGGGATATGTGCACATGTATTTGCATTCCTCTGTTCCTTAATTCTTTCAGCATTATTTTTAATCAGGTTCTGATGAAATGCAAACGGGGCTTTCATATGAGACTCTCCACTGCAGCAGGAAGCAATTTGTATCTGGCTCTCTAGGGCGGATAGTCTCATGACATCCAAATGGGCTTCTCTGCTGGAATTAGTTCACCAGGCTTCCAGTTGAGAAGTACCCTTAAATTATTCAGTAAGCTCTTTGATCCTGTCTGTTGAGCTCTGCTTCATTTTGTTTCCCTCTCTGTCAGGGAAGCATCTGTAGATGCTGGGCTAGTTTCCAAAGCAATAAAAGGCACATCCCAGAACATGTAATATGCCCAGCATGAGCTGTATTCAAGTGGCCCAATTTATTGCCACAAACAGAAGGGAAAGAAGACATGGGTAGAGAGGCTTCTGGCAACACAAACTCCAGGGATTCCAAGGTGACAGTCATGATGGGAACATGCTTCCCAGCAGTGACTATGCTTCCCTGGGTTCACCAAGACTCAGACAGCTGCTTTCCTCCTCCTTCCCACCAAAAACTTCAAGCTGCCTTTTGGCTTCTTAGGAGGTTCAGAGGCACAGATGACTTTTGGAGGCTTTGCTATAACACTTCTCATCTTTAGTGTCCCTTGCATCAAACTTCTCCAGTCCTAGGGCAGAGTAGCAACTCTTTATAAACAGAATTGTTCTTTTTGCTTGTTTGTTTTTAGAGGAACATGAGCTGACAGTGGATATGGAAACCATCAGCCTGGACCGAGATGCAGAGGTAATGCTGCCTGCGTGACTCAGCCTCAAAGGGCATGGTTACAGATGACCCCAGCCATCAGCTTATCTTTTATGAAGGTGGCAGATTAGTGACTAAAGAGATCACCCAAGACTTTTTTTGATTAGTTTGATTTCCTGTATTTTTACTATTCTTAACACTAGCAGTTGAAATCTATTTCTATTTAGATAGTTAAGACCTATGTGACAAATGAAATGCTTTTGATTCAAGTTATATGTATCCAGTGGTCATATTGTTGATATGGGTCCTTAAACCCCCAATTTTGGGAAAGTGTGGATGTGGATATGTGTCCAGTTGCTAGGGAATTGGATTCAGACTAACCACTGGGTCAGTTTTACATAAAACTAACATAAATCACAACTAAATAAAATGTCAACCTGCCAATCACAAATGGATCTACTACCCTCACAGCCTCTCCCTTCCCTTCTCTTCTGGCATTCTCCTAAGCAGCTCCGGGCCAGGTCTCCAGAAACTCTGATGGTTCTAAGCAAAATTCCTCTGTGTTTCAGGATGTTGATCTGAATCACTATCGTATTGGAAAGATTGAAGGCTTCGAGGTGCTGAAGAAAGTGAAGGTGAGAGGAATCTGTCCTTGTACACAAGGTGACTTGGTAACATTTACTTGGAGAATATGCATAATCCTTGTTCCCATCCTGTGGGTGACGCTGGCCTATATTCTCATGTTTCTCTTAGTGGGACAGGTGGGAAGTCTGGGCTCTAGTACTGCCTTGGCGAGGCCTTGCAGTCTCCTGTACTAGCTCACTACAGTTAAGTTTACTTCTCATAATGGAGCCCAGTAAAGGTTCCTCCAACTGCGAGAACTTGACTTACACTCCAACCCTATTCAGGGCCTTCCTCCCCAAACAGGTATGCTCAATATGGGTCTTCCTGACTTTCCTTTGGGCCTGTGCATGTTCTCAAGTAGGGGAGAGTAATTCCAGCTTCTTATCCCCACTCACTGCCCCTTGAAGGTCAGCATGAAATAGCCCCAGGAGTGTGGCCCTGTGTTCTTTTTTGCCAATGCTGATCCTCTTCCTATCCTCCAGTCACTCTGCCTACGTCAAAACTTAATTAAATGCATTGAGAACCTGGAGGAACTGCAGAGTCTTCGAGAACTGGATCTCTATGATAATCAGATCAAGAAGATTGAGAATCTGGAGGCGCTGACAGAACTGGAGTGAGTAGGGAGACCCAGAGGAGATGGGATGGGTTGGGTGACAAGGGTGACCTACCCACTGCCTGGCTATAGTCCTGGAGGGCTGCCCTGTGCTAGAGCTCTAAGAGGGAGCAACAGTTTCTTACATGCCATTAACATTGAAGGCTGAGTTCATTCAATAATGATGTAAGAACTGGGAAGTAGGATCTTTAATACATAATCCCCTTTTTAAAAAACAAGTGTCAGCCACATTTCTGACTACAGGGATCAGCTTTACCTGGCTATAGCCTTATCTGGCTTCATTCCTTTGTTGGTGCTGGCTTTTGTTTTTGTTTCTTTTTGAGATCATGTCTGAAGTAGCCCAGGCTGAACTGAACTCTCTGTAGCTGAGATGATCTTGAATCTTTAACCCTCTGCCTCCACCTCTCCAGTACTGGCCTTACAGACATGTGCCACCATGCCCGTCTGTTTTGATTTTTCTTTGTTTCATTTTTAGTCCAACACCACTCAGGTTGAACATGGTACTAGGCTCTGCCGTGGACACGGACATAAATGAAACCTGGTTTCTGCTCTACATAGGACAGTTAGGAAACAGTGTTCATAGCCTGCAGGTTGCCTTTACTGCCCTCCAGGCGCCAGACAGCTTCATGGTCCCATAGGTCAGCTCCAGTGTGAGCCAGTCAGTGAGTGATGGGGCCATGGTGAGATCCAACCTCCTAGTGACTGCAGATCCTGGAGGCAGATATCCTCTAAGTGGAATTCTGACTCCTATGTTCCTGTGTTCTTTCAAGAAATATTTTGCTTCTTCCAGGATTCTAGATATTTCTTTTAATCTGCTGAGGAACATTGAAGGGATTGACAAACTGACACAGCTGAAAAAACTCTTCTTGGTCAACAATAAGATCAGTAAAATTGAGAACCTAAGTACCTTACATCAACTACAGATGCTGGAGCTGGGCTCGAACCGCATCCGAGTAAGTACAGATGGATCTGCAGTGGTGCACATAGGGTATGTGGTCGGCTGAGGCTTTGTTAGGTTCATGTTGTTTGGAGGATGCAGGGAAATAGTTAAGGAAAACTGTTAACTGGAAGCCAATATTTTTTTTAATTCATTTATTTATTTTACATCCTGGCCACAGCCTCCCCTCCATTATTCCCTCCAGTACCTCTCCACCATTCCTCACCCCCAACCCCTCCTCTTCCATCTCCATCTAGGAAAGGACACATCTCCTGTGAGTATCAATAAAACATAGCGTATCAAGTTGCAGTAAGACTAAGCACCTCCCCATGTCTTAAGTCTGGGCAGGATGACCCAGTATGAGGAGTGGGGTCCCAAAAGCCAGTAAAAGAGTTGGAGTCAGCCCCTGTTCCCGTTGTTAAGAGTACCAAGCTATACAACTGTAACATATATGCAGAGTGCCTAGGCCAGTCTCATGCAGGCTCTCTGGTTGTCGGTTCAGTCTAGTCTCCGTAAGCCCCTGTGAGCCCAGGTTAGTTGATTATGTGAGCTTGGAAGCCAGTATTAATAAGAACTGTGCTCACACCGACTGTCTTGTCTGGTAATTAGCTTTCATGGCTCTTTATCTGTATCATGGTCCTGTGCCAAGCTAGTGCCAGCTGTGCTCCATAAAGAAAGCCAGCTAAGCTTTTCTTTTAAACCTGTTCATAGTAGTTTTCTTTTGTCTGTAATTGAGGTGTGTTTCACACTTGCAGTGATCATGTGATAAGCAAGATTTTTACAGCTGAAATGTCCCCCAGAACACTGGGCTGGTCCTTCATCCCCTAAAAATGTCCTCTGGCAGAATTTGGTTTGATGTTCAAGATACATTTGACCTTGAAAACATAGGTCAGAATGAAGATGAAAGGCCTTTGAAAAAAGGAGGCTACAGTGTTCCACAGAAACAAAACTAAGTCTTTGGAGATAGTGTCTCACTCACTGTGTAGCCCAGACTGTCCTGGAACTCACAGAGATCTCCCAGTACCAGGATTAAAGGCATATACTACCACACCCAGCAAAACCCAAGTTTTTGCCAGTTGACACATAACAGCTAGGGAAAGTGCCTTGTATCTGACAGTCAGGAACCTCAGAGGGTCATGTAAGTTCTGATATTGGAAGAGGATCTGCCAGGCAGAGGAGGGAGGCTTACCCATGGGCACACACAAGGGTTTTGTCAGTCTTAAAACTACATGAGCCTAGCTTTGACATCTTGTGTCATCGTGCTGTGTCTGTCCTCAGTCTGCTTGGTTAATGACGGAGGCAGGTGTTTACATGCCTGTGTCTGCCACTCCACGTGTGAAGCAGCTCCCAGTTGGTGTTTGGAAGTACTGTACCACACTTTGTGGCCTGCCCTTATGGTTCTTCAAGAGCCATAAGGGTACAAAACTGGGACTGAGTAGATATGACTGCACCAAGGAGAAGCAAGGGACGAGGAATGGGAACAGCCATGGGGCATCCCTCATGAACTTCTGAGATCAAAGTTCCCAGTATCTTGATTTCTGTAGAGGCCTAGGCTCATGGGAATGCACAGTCTCAAAAGCTGTGTAGAATGAAATGCCACTTAGGCCAGAGAAATCAGCGAGCTTATGAGTTTTCAAATAATCCCAGAGCTCTGAAAGTATGAGAGTTGGCTGGGTGGTAGTAGCATATTGCCTTGGGAGGCAGAAGCAGGCGAGTTTCTGAACTGGAGGCCAGCCTGGCCTACAGGTATCCAGAGTGAATTCCAGGACATCTAGGGCTATGCAGAGAATCTCTTGTTTCAAGAAACGAGGGGGGAGGGGGAGAGAGAAAGAGATTTTGGGTTTGGCAGTGAGCCCCAGGAATCAGTCTTCAATCCTCCATCATTTTCGTTCTTTTCCATACTGTATATTCAAGAGATAGTTCATTAGCAAGTTCCCAGAGTCCAAACATCACAGAGCTGAAGTCTTAGATTGCCTCATCTTATGGTCTAGATTCTTTACTTGATGTTTTGTCTGTTTGACAGGCAATTGAAAATATCGACACGTTAACCAACCTGGAGAGTTTGTTTCTGGGGAAAAACAAAATTACAAAACTTCAGAACCTGGATGCACTTACCAACCTGACAGTCCTCAGTATGCAGGTATTGGGCCTCACCAGCTCCCAGCTTCTCATTCTCACAGACCCATCACACCCAACCTGTTTTATTCCGTGACCAACACTGTTTCACAGTCAGTAGATGGTGGAAACATTAGAATCCACAGATCTTACATACACATATATTCTAAACTAAAATTCTGTTCTTCTTATATAATTTATTTTTACTTTTAAGGATTTCAATTTTGGGAGATGGAAAGATGGTTAAGAGTACCAGCTACCCTTCCAGAGGATCCAAGTTCGATTCCTAGCACCTACATGGTGACTCACAGATGTTTCGTTCCACAAAATCTGACACATTTCTTCTGGAATGTTCTGGAAGTGAACATTCAGGTTCACTTCCTAGCACCCACATGGCAACTCACAAATATCTGTAACTCTAGTCCAATAGCCTCTTCTGGCTTCTGAGGGCACCAGGCGAGCATGTGATGCCCAGACATACATGCAGGCAAACGTTTATGCGCATAAAATAATAGTGATGTCCATTCCTTTCTCTATTGGCAGTTGAGCAATAAATGAACTCTGGCCATCTTTAGGAGGGAGAGCTCACTCCATTCCTCTCAAGTGTATCTGTTCAGTGGTAGAAATTCTCTCTCCATATTTCACAGAGAGGGCAGACCTTGTGAGACCATGGGTTTGAGGACAGTTCAGCTGTTCAGCACTAATGTATGTAAAGACTCGTTAACTTTTATTTTTAATTAAGACAAGGTCTCACTATGTAACTCTTGATGGCCTGGAACTCACTATCAACCAGGCTGGTCTCAAACTTACAAGAAATCCTGCTGTCTCTGTCTCCTGCATATTGGGATTAGAGGTGTGCAGCACTATGCCTGATTCATGTGGACTTTGTTGTTGGTTTTTGAGGTTTCGTTTTTGTTTGGCAGAATCAGACCTTGAAGGGTTAAAGGGAGATATGCCTGGGTGTGCCTGGGATGCCTCGTGTGGCAGGTCCCACTGACATGGCACAGGAACCTCATAGACTGAGTAAAACAAATATCTTACAGACGACTTCAAAGAGAAATTTTTGAACTGTAATTAAGTTGTAAGATACTCTAAAAGAAATGAAAATTGCTTCCTTTCAAAACAAAAATGAGCCTGGCGGTGGTGGCACACACCTTTAATCCTAGCACTCGGGAAACAGAGGCAGGTGAATCTCTGTGAGTTCGAGGCCAGCCTGGTCTACAGAGCTAGTTCCAGGACAGGCTCCAAAGCTACAGAGAAACCCTGTCTCGAAAAAAAAGTTAGGACAGAAGAGATGACTCAGTGAGTAAAGGTGCTTGTTGCCAAGCCTGATGACCTGAGTTCAATTCCCCAGGTCCCATATAATGGAGAAAACGCATTTCCTGCAAGTTTTCTGATGTCTACCAGTACACCCACATATACACATTACACATACTAAATATTCAAAACAAAAACAAAACCCATGATACTTTGAGGAGAGCTAGAAAGCAGTTGAGGGCTCTGGATGCTCTTCCAGAGAAACCTGGGTTCATTCTCAATGTCCACATGGCAGCTCCAACAACCTCTTCTGGCCTCAGCACCAGGCATGCATGTGGTACACAAACATACATACAGATAGAACACCCATACACAAAAAACAAAAATGCTTTCATTGATACTTTTGAGATTTTTAAATTGTTATAGTAAGAGGTCCAGCAGGATGGCAGAGGAAGTAAAGACACCTGTTACCAAAACTGACCACCTGCCTGGCAGAGGTGACTCACACCTTAATCTCAGCACTCTGTAGAGGGAGGCAGATCTTTGTGAGTTCAAGGACAACCTAATATACAGAGCTGGTTCCAGGACAGCTCAAGCTGTCACACAGAGAAACCTTGTCTCAAGAAAACAAACAAACAGTGTAGTAGGAGCTTCGGGCCACTTCCTGCCGGCCACCTGGCTAGCTTATGCCCCGAAATAACAACACACAAATTGTATTCTTTTAAACACTGCCTGGCCCATTAGTTTCAGCTTCTTATTGGCTAATTCTCACATCTTGCTTTAACCCATATTTAGTAATCTGTGTAGCACCACAAGGTGGTGGCTTACCGGGAAGGATCTTAACCTGCATCCATCTTGGAGAGGAGAGCTATAGCGTCTGCCTCACTTCCCTTCTTCCCAGCATTCTGTTCAGTCTTTATTAATTAACCAATGAAAGCAACAGATAGATAGAAGACACTCCCACATCAAAACAGAAACAAAACAAAAAAATCTGTATTCAATCCCTAGCACCCATATGATAGAAGGTGCAAATTGACTCTACAAGTTGTCCCCTGACCTCCATGTACCCGCCATTACATGGTCATATGCACATACATACACAAGACAAATCTATTTCTTAATTACTTCAAATAAACCTTCAGATACATCTAAAAAAAAAAGTATGATTTTCATATAAAAACTCCAAACTTCAACATGATATTCAACCCAGTACAACAGACCCAAAATGTTAGTCCTCTTCTCAAGTCCCATTTCAAGAATATTTTAATTTTTTGATTTTATTATGTTTGTTTGTTTTAGTTATACAGACAGGGTGTTTCTGTGTAGCTCTGGCTATCCGGGAACTTACTCTGTAGGCCAGTCTGGCTTAGAACTCAGATCCACCTGCCTTGCCTCCTGAATGCCTATTTTTTATTTTTATATGTATGGCTGTTTTGCCTGCATGTATGTTGGTGTTCTTGGAGGCCAGAAAAAAGCATCAGATACCCCGGAACTAGAGTGACAGATGATCATGAGCAGCTGTGTCCGTTCTGAGAATGAAACCTAGGTCTTCTGAAAGACTAGCCAATGATCTTAATCACTGAACCACTTTACTCATCCACCCCCACCTCCCAACACTTTTTAAATAAAATAGGGTAAATGGGAAACTTCATTTCTAAAGCCCTTGTATTTCTCACCTTCTGTGTAGCTGACTGCTCTTTTTCTTATCTTTTAATATTTTCCTGTGTGTGGTATGAATGTATGTGGTATGATTGTGTGTGTATTCATGCACATGTGTGTATGTGTTTGCTTGTGGAGACCCCAGATTAGATTAAAGTTGGGAATCGCCCTTGATTGCTCTTCCACCTTATTCATAGAGTGAGTCTCTTAGTCAAACCCAGAGCTAATTTTATGGCTAGTTTTGCTGACCAGCTTGCTCTGGGAATCACCTATCTCTGGGCTTCCTTCCATGGCTGGAATCACAGGCATGCCACCATACTCACTGGCATTTGTGTGGGTTCTGGAAGTTCAAATTTGGGTCCTCAAGCGTAAGTGGAAGATATTTTAACTACTGAACTATCTCCTCAGCCCCAAGAATGATACTTTTTAATTCTCTTCTACAGAGCAATCGGCTAACAAAGATTGAGGGTCTACAGAGCTTGGTGAACCTGCGTGAACTGTACCTCAGCCACAATGGTATCGAGGTTATCGAGGGCCTGGAGAACAACGTAAGAGCCCATTGGTCTGTCTGAGGGAGCTAAAGGGAGGTGAAGAGGAAGGGGCGGGTGCTGGCATTCACTGCCCTCCAGGCCTGGCCTCAGGTGGACGTACTGCCTACAGGATGTGAGCTAAGGGCCCTCTACCCCAGTGAGTCAAAGGGCCAGCATGTCACATGACTACCTGTGGGGTTTCAACACAGCTATCAGACACCCTCCTAGGGCAGTTCACTGCACATCTGCCATGTATTCTAGGCCTTTGGGTGATTTAAAAAATCCTTACGTGCCCCTGTATCACACAGATAGCTAACACAAGTATCATCAGCTCTGTCCTTCCCGTTACTCCCTCTGGCCACTGAACTTCCTGCCTTACCTCAGCCTGTAAAGACTCCAGGGTTAGCCTAGCCTGCTTAGAAGGAAGAGCCATGCTCCCTGGCCCCACTCCTGGAGTCCAGAGTGCTGCAGGTCTCCTCCCCACTACCTTTCACCAATCTGTCCACTCCTCCCGCCCACCTCCAGCTTCCCATTCAAGAAGAGCTTCTCCTACTTACAGTTGCCTTTGATCTCACCTGTTTTTCCTCCAAGCATGATTCAAGACAAATAAAATATTTTTTCTTGTTCAATTTTACTGGGGTTGTTTTGTTTTGTTTCAGAGAAATGTTTTTTGTTTATTTGGTTGATTGGTTGCTTTTGTTAAATTGCCATCAAATGCAACAAGATTAGGTCAGGTTTTTGTTCTTGGAATCATCATTATTCAAATCTCATCATAGGTTCCTTTGCCCTTTGTGCCCCATCAGTGAAATTCTGGAGGAAAACCAGTGTTCTGAGTTTTAGTTCATCACTTGTATAAGAATTTTCAGGAAAGCTAAAATTTACCTGTTCAAAGTTTGATAACCTTCCTCTAACTTTGTAATCAGGAATTTAGCTAGCATATGAAGCCAGGTATGGTAGCACTCACCTATAATCACAGCAATTGAATGAAAGCAGGAGAATCAGAAGTTCAAGGCCAGCCTTGACTACTTCAAGGCTAGCCTAGGCAGCCTTGTCTCAAACACACAGAAACAATTAAAACCAGCGTGTGACCTTCTGTAGTGTAGGATGGTAGTTAAAAGGAGAGCCAGAGGCAGCAACTGGAGCAAGGGAACTTCAGAAAGCCTTGGGGCTGGGTGGGGTGAACACACTGACAGAGCACCAGTACCTCTGCTCCTCACAGGTAACAGTCCCCTCCAGGGGACCAGCATGTCTATCTGCTCTGTAATTCCCTCATGGTACAGGTCTGTCTTCAAACAGGAAAGAAGTGTGAGTGTAGAGTCTTACCCAAGGCATCTTATAGCTAAGTCTTAGTTACATGTCATGTCTGAAATAGAACAGAGAAATACTGTGTTAACAGTAACTGTGTCATCGTAATGTTTACCTTGATCAAATGTGACAGTCTTTCAGATTGATTTCAGTATAAGTATTTACCTAACGTTCTCCCAAGTTTTATCTTAATCAAGAATTTACTTTCATGGTGGGAGAAAAACAAGTGACTTTTCCCAAGTGGCACATACACTGTCACTGGCCCACTTATCACATGTTCTTTCTTCAGTGTCCCAAGGCACCTGTCTGATGGATTTGGCTCTTCTGTGCCCAGAGATTTTCCCTTCGTTAACCTAAAATGTTTATTCTGGCTCTTGACCTGGGTGTTTCTTTATCGTGTATATAAGTTGCCTTCCCTACCCTGTTGTGTTGTTTTGTTTTAATTTTAAAAAAATCTTGTTTGATTTTGAATAAGCACTCAAATCCTCAAACAGAAGGGGATTGAGTGTATAGCTGGATCTCAGGTCAGAAAGGTTAGTGAGCCGTCCTGGGGGCCAGTGCCCACCACCAGCACTCTTCCCTGCTGAGCCTTGGACTCGGATCTATAGTGGGTTTCAGACTACTACTGTTTTGCTAGTTTACAGTCTTGCTCATTGAGCTGTCACAAGTGCTGGGGAATGATTCCATTGGTGGGCTTGTTCTGTCCCAGCCTGCTGTGTCCTCGGGTTGGCACTATAGCCCCATATCGTTGTTTTATGGCTCTGTTGACTCTGAAGCTCCATGAATTGTGACTTGGTACTCTCATACCTGTGCTGCATATCTGGACTCAGTGCTTCTAGCATGTGTGCCAATGCTTGTGTGATGCTTTTATGGGATGTGGAGGCGGGTAGGGTGGTGCTGTGGAACCTTCAAGGGATTAGAAAGCCACACCTGTGACATTTTTTAATCAATAGCTACTGACTATGAATTTTTTTTAAATTTCCATTAAAACTTGGAAAGGTTTGGGATCAAGATACCAGGAATGCAGTAGGAAACAAGGACCATGAGTCTCTAAAGTGCAGAGAGATCTTTAGAGCAGATGGGGGAAGGACTTCCCGCCAGCTGTAAGATTGCCATGGAGTCTAGGAAAGCATCCCTGTGGTTTGTTAAAACATATTGGCAAGCACTATAAATTACGGTAGACTTAATTTTCACCATGACATTGTTCTGCTGTTGAATCTTGAAACTATAACCATGAAAACGATTATAAAACCAGGCAGTGGTGGCACATGCCTTTAATCCCAGCACTCAGGAGACAGAGGCAGGTGAGTCTCTGAGTTCGAGGCTAACCTGGTCTACAGAGCTAGCTGTTAAGATACCCAGGGCTACACAAAGAAACCCTGTCTGGTGTGGGGGAAGGATAGATAGGGCACAATGCTGTATCTTGCAGGATACTTAGTACCCATAGACACCATCTTCAGCTGCTAAGGCCCCACTTGCCTTCATTGCTTTCCTAAGTTCTAGCAGGCCCCAATATTAGCCCTTCAGTACCTAGGCCTTCCTGGCATCGCCCCAGGTAGCTTTGTCCAAGACAGGAAGGCCTCTTTGTTATTCCTCCCACCTCTATTGTGTGCCTGGAGTATCTTATCCTCACCCGAACCTCAAGCTCCTCAGCCTTACTGAAGAAAGGAATTCCACTGTCAGTAATTCAGCAGTGTATTTCCTCACAGTAATCACTAAAGACTTGCTACAACGGTTGTCATTCCTTCCTCAAAGCTCAGAGTCACTGCTTTCCCCAGACCCCAAGAACAGGAACAAAGGTCTTACTGGGGTCCTCCACAGTTATGGGGCCTCTGACTGACACAAAGTTTAGGAACTGTGAGGGCTTCATGAGGTTTTGAACAAAAACACTGCATCAGGTCCAGCTGAGGAAGCCACGGGAAGTGGGTAGGTGGTATCAGTCAGCTTTATCAAAGTCGCCCCAAGGCACATAGAGGGTAGCTATGCAGTCTTCAGCTCAGCCTCACACTGTTGCATGTGGTTGCATGCTGCTATTTAAGTTCAGTAATCCAGAAAAAATTTTCTTATTTTAGAACAAACTCACCATGTTGGACATTGCATCAAATAGGATAAAAAAGATTGAAAATATCAGCCATCTAACAGAACTGCAAGAATTCTGGGTAAGTCTTAAACATAGTGAGATTGGCATCTCTCTTTTGGCTCAGTGGGTCCTGCTGAGTAAAACATGTGAATGAATGAAAGTCTGCTAGTCCTGGAAGCCTTGATGCCCAGTGAACCGTGCCCGTGTCCTGGGGATCAAATGCAAGTTGTCTCATGTGCTGTTACCCACTGAGCCATCTCACCATGCCTGCCTTCGATTTTTTTAGTATACTATTATAGATATATCATTTCATTTATTTGTATGTTTATTTGTTTGTTTATTTTGAGGCAAGGTCTCCCTGTGTAGCCCTGACCATTCTGACATCACAGAGATGTACCTGCCTGTACCTCATAAGTGCTCTGATTAAAGGCATGAGTCACAGTGCCCAGCTGAGCTTTAAATATGTAAATATATAGTTTTTATGAAATAAAGAAAACAAAAATTTTTTCCCTCTAAAAATTTTCCAGGTCCTCCCAACCCTTAGTTTCTTCTGAAACGCAGTATATGTGTGTTAGTCCTTTGGTAATTAGATCATAGCACATCTGTTGCTCGTCTACCCCTCCTTTCCCCAGGCTTTGCTCTAGATGAGCCTCAGTTTATGTGATTTCTTTTTTTTTTTCTTTCTTTTTTTTTTTTTTTTGTTGTTGTTTTGTTTTGTTTTTGTTTTTCAGGATAGGGTTTCTCTGTGTAGCTTTGGAGCCTGGCCTTGAACTCACAGAGATCCGCCTGCCTCTGCCTCCCCAGTGCTGGGAATAAAGGCATGCGCCACCATTTCTATTGCTCTGTCTTCAAGATATTATTTTCCCTTCTGCAGTACCCAGTCTGCTTTTAAGATCATTATTTAGCTACTTCAGTTTTTGGAGACTTACATATTTTATTTGTGTTTATGTATCTTTGTAGTACATAGGTATATGTATGGGTGCCTGTGCCTGTGGGTGGCACAGAAGGTAGCTGTGACTTCCTCTGTCATCCTCTGCCTGTTTATTTGAAGCAGAGTTTCTCCCTGAACCTGGGTCTGGCATTTATTTTCTCAGTCCGCTAAGCTGGAAGCTAGCAAGCCCCGGTGATTCCATGTCTGCCTCCTTTGGAGCTACAGTTACATACACATGCAGGGTGCCTGACTTGTTACACAGGATCCAAACCGTGGTCCTCATTATGCAGCAAGCACTCATAACCCTGAACCACCTCTCCAGACCTAGGTTCATGGTAGCAGGAGTGCACAGCTAAACTCTGGACCCCTCACAGCCGGGAAGGCTGAGAAATAGAGCAGGATCTCATGATACTGCTTTTCACCTTTTTATTCAGTCCAGGATCCCAGCCCAAAGGGACAATGCCACCCATATTCAGGGTATGGCTTCCTTTCTTGGTTAAACTTCTTTGGAAGTCCTCTGAGACATCCCTAGACATCTCCTAAGTGAATCTAAACTCAATTGTGCTGACAGTGAAGTTAATCATACCTATTCGGTGAAATTTTGTTCTGGTTGTCCTTTTGGCTCTTTGAGAACATATTGTTAAGGTTTTTCTTTTTTTAGTTAATATATACGCATCTGTGTCTGAGTATGAATTGTGAACACGTGAGGACTGTGTGTGCCTGTGGAGGCCATAAGATGGTATTGGATCCCTGGAACTCAAGTCACAGGGAGTGTGAGCCACCTGATATGACTGCTAAGACCCAAACTCAGACCCTCTACGAGAATAGCACTGCTCTTAATCTCTGAGCTGTCTCTTCAGCCTGCATTGTTCTTTTTTTATTTCTCACAGATGGATTTCTTATTAGATTTTTATGTTTCTTTGTCAGTTCTTCTTTACATGGCTAGTAACTTCTTGTGTGCTGGGTATTGTGAAACTAAACAGTTGTATGTCAGATTTGTGTTGTTTTTTTGCAAAATATATTGGACTTTGTATCTAGCAGGAAGTGAAGTCACTGCTAGACTTCAAGGCTTATTGCTGGGGTGAGCCTACATGTTTTGTCCTCTTAGGCTAACCAGCTCTATCCCTGTGTATTGCCCCTCTATGACCTCTAGTAAGTGTCATGGGGGCCACAGACATGCCTCCACCCCATGTGGGCCCTGGTAGATTTCAGCCATACTCCCTACTCTCTGTATATGCCTTAGTCTTTGCTTCAAAATACAAAAAGGGAGACAGAACAGGATTTCTGGATTTTGTTTTCCTATGTAGCTCATTCTTACCTAGAAATTCTGACATCCCCTCTCCCCACCTAAACATAATTCCACTTGACTTCAGTGTAGCTTCCAGAGCTTGTTTGACTCCCCTTCCTCATAAGAGGCCAGCCAGGGTGACCATAGCACTCACCCATTTCTTTTTCCTCTCAGGAATCACTGGTTTGTGTCGCCTGTTGTCCAGCTTATGAAAGCAGCTGTCCCCACACCATGCCCTACTCTATTAGTTTATAGTCTAGCAACAGTTGCTCCAGTGTTGATTGAATCTGAAGCTATATTTGCTTAATTTTGTATTTATGTCTCCCTACTATTAAATGTCATGAAGACCAAAGAACAAAGTTGTTTAGGACTTTTTAATCTTTAAAAAATATAACCTAAAAGTTATTATCTGAACCTTCTTAGTATAGAATAGAATGTTGTGAAACACAGTCATGTTTGTGTGGCCACCACCACCATGCTTGTCTTACAGAACCGAAACTGCCCTCACTAAATACTAATGTCCTTCTCCTACCATTCTCCTTTCTGACTTCATACAGTTTTTGACCTTTTCTCACTGGCTGTTCTCCAGGCTCTTCCTTGTTTTAGCACAAGTGAGATTTTCCCTACTTTTGAAGGATGAGTACTATTCTATTCTGTATATGTTGTTTCTTTTTTTGTCTCACCAACCCTTAGAACAATGCTTGATACAGATCTGGTGAGTCCAAAAGAGGGAGTTAGGGAAGGAAGGTTTGTCATTTGAGTGAGGCTAACCATGTTAATGTAAGAACCGAGCTTACACATGTCAAGTGAGAGGTTAGCATTCTGCTGCTAGAAACAGAAATAATCATTGCTGGCACTTCCTAACTTATTCCATTTTTAAAAAAACAATGAGATACAGCATTTTGTCCATGAAGTAGGCAGATTTGTGAAATATGATTGCAGCCAGTCTGTAGTACAGCAACCCCTGTGCTTAGCACAAGTATTTGGAAGCATTTAGAACCTTAAACATACCCACCCACTAAAGCATGGTGATGACGCATCCAGGACCTAAGAAAATGATGAGACATACATGTAAAGAAGTAGTCTTGTATCATACAATGGAACAGTTCTGAGAAATACATCATTGGGAGCTTTTGTTATATGAGCATCATAGAGTACACAAAGACAGCTATGATGTCTCTAGATAACACCATGTAGGGCTCGGCTAGATGGACTTGGGGTCCAACATGACGCATTGTCTTTTGTTGGCCAAATGTCATCAGGTGGCACATGATTTGTTTCCCATAGTAGTAAAAGCTTTGTTACATTTCTTGATAATAAAAATGCAAGTTTTTTAAAGATTTATTTATTATGTATACAATGGTCTGCCTGCATGTATCCCTGCAGACAGAAGTTGGCACCAGATCTTATTACCAGTAGTTGTGAGCCACATATGGTTGCTGGGAATTGAACTCAGGACCTCTGGAAGAGCAGTCAATGCTCTTAACCACTAAGCCATCTCTCCAGCCCCAAAAATGCATGTTTATTATACATAAGGTCAGGTTTAAAGAGGAAAGAAAAGCCTCTTTAGCATATATCCTATCCATCTTTTAGATACACTTTTTAGATGCATTATTATATATGAAACCTAGGAACATTTCACATGATGCATGAGTATGGTGGTCACCTGAAAGGCCAAGATTACTTTCTATAATGTATGGGACCTTAAAAGTGACAAGAAAACAACCAGTAGAAAAATAGCAGGCAGGTAAGTATGGGCAGTGTGAGGCAGTTTGTCTCATTCCTGCTACTTGAAATGTTCCACGGTTACAGTCTGGACCTAGGACAGATGGCACAGGTCCCTGGAGGGCTCACTCCTCTGCCCCTTATCCTTACCAGACTGGTAAAGCAGACATCACGCTGACCAAAATCTACAGCAGGAAGGATAACCTGGTGCAGCAGCCTACATGCTGCTGACACCAATTCTGGCAGCACACATTGCCTGTGTGTCACCAGCAATGAGTGAATCGGATGCTTTTCTTCTCTCAATGTGCCTCTGCTGGCCTCAGCCCACTGAGCCTCTCGGAACTTCTGTCCTGTGTTTGCAGTCAGTGGTAAGCAGCCTGATAGTATACCTGGCCAGTGACTTAATGGTTGCTGGCAGAGGCTGTATAGCCCAGCCCAGCGTCCTGCACACTGACAGCTCTCTCACATACACCCACGCACAGCTACTCTCTACTCTGCAGACATTTGTAATTAGTTCACACTCTCCGACACCACTTCAGTCTGTCTACACTGTTGGTGATACCAGTGTCCCTGTAGGTGATCTCTGTAATGACCTAACATCTCCGTTCCTCCACCTCTTCAATCTTTATACCCTTTTCCAAGAACTTCAGACTCATATTGGCCTGGTTACATCCTGATTCCACTTGACCTCACTTCTTCCGCTGCTCACCCATTGTCCCCTCTCAGTTCTCCTTCACAGCCAGTCCTTGTCTAGCCTGGCAGCAGGGGTGGACCCTTATCCACTGAAGTTGAGCCAGACAGAGGGGCAGCAAAGGGGGCTTATGATGTCAGGCTTGGACTTGCCCTGTTAGGTGATTGCCTGTGTGGAGCAGACATCCATCTTCCTGAGCCTGCTGCAATTAAGCATGCAGCCGCCAGCATGGCCTGGAAGCCAGCATCTGGGTGTCCCAGTGGGTCAGTGCCCACGCTCTGCCCTTTATTCGCTGCTTTTAATCCCACTGTACCAGTGGACACATTCCAGATTCAACATCCTTTCAATTCTGCATCTTTCTTCCACCTCTCAACAACAATTATGTTTGATTCCTGTACATTTCTCAAAATAGATAGCCAGCCACTGGCTCTCCATTCTCCTGTCTCCCTGGGTCTTTCTTGGTTGTCTTTGCTTCTTTTCTATTCTGCGCCCACAGGAATGCTCCAGCATTCAGTCTTCAGTTTTCTTTCTCCTTGACAGCCCTATGCAATCTTACAGATTTAAATGTCACCACTGTGCTCCTGGCAGCCAGCTTCTGTTTCTAGCTCCACTGTCTTTCCTGGATCCAGCTGTCTGCTCGTGTGTTGAGCCATCACCCAAATAGGACAAGTCCAAGCCCGAGCTCATGCATTATCCCCACAGTCCCTCAATGACTCTATCCTTCCAGATCCTCAAGCCAGAAGTCTTGGCACCCTCCTAAACTTCCCCTTTCCTGTGTACCAGATCCACTCCAACATCTAAATATTTGCTCTGCCTTCAAAGTGCATCCAAAACCCCGGTCCCTTCCCACCTCTGCTGCTGCCACCTGCCCAGCATCCTTTCCCTGTATGTTCTGATGGCCTTCTGACCTGAAGCCCTGCGTCTACCTTCCAAATAAAATCCTTGTGCTTGCTTTGGCTGCACATATACTACATTTTGAACAATACAGAGATTAGCATGGCTCTCATGCAAAGATGACAGACATTTATGAAACATTCCATATCTTTATTGTGTATGAGTTAATAAAAAGACAAGAACTAGGGCAAAAAGCATTAAGAACCTTCTAGAAAAAAATCCTGTATGGACTCCCAACTCCCATTCCATTTAGGAATAAAAGCGTAATTCCTACAAAGTTCCATGATCCCCTCAATGGCTCTCACTGTTGTATTGCCCATCCCTTCCCTACCTTTCTCCACAAATATTATCACTCTGCCAAATCCCGCGTTCTTCAGGGCTTCACACAGGATAGGGCCCCATGAATCATCAGCACAGGAGAAACAACAGTCCCAGAACCTATACTGACCAGGTGCTTCAAACCCAAAGGAATAGTACCAGGTCAAGTCCTATGGACAGTGAAGTCTCAGGACAAGTGCCTGAGAAGCTCTTACATGGAATTTAATCTAGTTCTTGAGATGCCCCCCTCCACTGCATTCTCATCCAGTGACCCTTCATCCTGATGCAATCTTTCACTTCCCCTCTGCTTCACATGTAGCCTGTCTGTCCCATGGTAGATTCTCAGGCTGCAGAGGTCATGTCTCCAGGAGTGGTACCCTGCTTCTTCCTACAGCTGCTTGCTGCAAACCCTGCAGCCTGTAGTATCTACAGACATGACTTCCGACTTCTACATGGGCAGAACAGGAGCCGCAGGCAGAGCCCTAAAGTTTGATGCTAGACTTGGCTCCTCTGTTCAGGCTGTTGACATAGCAGCTAGTCCTGACTTTATTTTCTGTCTTCAAACCCATAGGTGCAGTAACCCTAAGTGACATGAGTGTCCATTGTGCACACTCCTAACATCTATAGTTAATCCATAGTTAGTGGTGTCATGTTGGTGCTAAGTCAGCCATGGTGCACCATAGAAAGTAGCACACTCAACTTATCATGATTTTTCTCTATCCTGTAGAACAAGATGTTGCTTAAACATTTGCTAGCTTACCATGGCCCACATCTAGGTGGCTACTTTGCTAAAGGTACCCTTCCCAAGCCTCTGCCTCAGCACTTAGACTGGAAAATGGGTTTGGATAGTTTAACCTGGTACTGTAGGTTCTTACCCAAGGTAGCTTTGTCTCAAAATTTGATCCCAATGTGAAACAACATGCATCTTTGAACACTGTGGGAGTCATCCAGTTCGGTCTCATCTTGATGGCACATTTGAAAAGAGAGAGCACTCTCCTGCCATGCTCAGACCCCAGCCTAGGGTTCAGTGTTCCTCATCTGGTGTTGGCAGTGTTTGTCAGCCTTTGGTGGCCTTTGCATACAGGAACTAGACATTCTCAGAAATGTACCACAAAGGTGATCTAAGAGTCATGTTTGGAGTAGAGCAGCCTCTGGCCAGCTGCATTACAGTCCGTGCAGTCTCAGCATTGGTAGCAATTAATGAAAACCAGTGTGTAGGAAGAGTAGCCAGGCCCGCTTCAGATCTGCTTGAGGGCCAGGTGTACAGCCAGCGCCACCCCGCTCTTCTTTTTTTTTTTTTTCTATAATTTCTGCAGCTTTTATTCTCAACAAGGTAATTTTCTTTTTTTTTAACTTTTATTTATTTATTAAAGATTTCTGATTCTTCCCCGCCACTGCCTCCCATTTCCCTTCCCCTCCCCCAATCATGTCCCCCTCCCTCGTTAGCCCAAAGAGCAATCAAGTTTCCCTGCCCTGTTGGAAGTCCAAGGACCACCCACCTCCATCCAGGCCTAGTAAGGTGAGCATCCAAACTGCCTAGGCTCCCACAAAGCCAGTTCGTGCAGTAGGAACAAAAACCCATTGCCGTTGTTCTTGAGTTCTCAGTAGTCCTCATTGTCCACTATGTTCAGCGAGTCCGGTTTTATCCCAGGCTTTTTCAGACCCAGGCCAGCTGGCCTTGGTGAGTTCCTGATAGAACATCCCCATTGTCTCAGTGTGTGGGTGCACTCCTCGCGGTCCTGAGTTCCTTGCTCGTGCTCTCTCTCCTTCTGCTCCTGATTTGGACCTTGAGATTTCTGTCCGGTGCTCCAATGTGGGTCTCTGTCTCTGTCTCCTTTCATCGCCTGATGAAGGTTAATATTCAGGAGGATGCCTATATGTTTTTCTTTGGGTTCTCCTTATTTAGCTTCTCTAGGATCACTAATTATAGGCTCGATGTCCTTTGTTTATGGCTAGAAACCAAATATGAGTGAGTACATCCCATGTTCCTCTTTTTGGGTCTGGCTCTTAATGAACTTAGTCTGCGTGTGAGCAGGTGGAGCTTTCCCGTTGCTGCTAAAAGGCAACCAGGAAGAGCCAAGTGATGACAGAAGGATCTGTGAGGGATTGGGGTAAGGAGAACTATAGAGCTGTGGTTCTCAACCTGTAGGTTGCAACCCCTTTGGCAAACCTCTTCTCTAGAAATATGTACATTACAATTCATAACAGCAAAATTACAGGTATGGAGTAGCAACGAAAATAATTTAATGGCTGGGGGTCCTCGCAACATGAGGAACTATAGGATCACAGCATTAGGAATGCTGAGATTCAGTGCTGTGGTGTGTTTTAATGACCCCTGTCTCATATTTGGGGATCCCGGCACATAGGGGCCAGAGCTAATCTCTAACAGCCTTTTCCTCGTGTTCCTCCAGATGAATGACAATCTCCTGGAGAGCTGGAGTGACCTTGATGAGCTGAAGGGTGCCAGGAACCTGGAAACCGTGTACCTGGAGCGCAACCCCCTGCAGAAGGACCCACAGTACCGGCGGAAGATCATGCTGGCCCTACCCTCCGTGCGGCAGATAGATGCCACATTCGTCAGGTTCTGAGTCCTCCTTGCTCCTCACCTGGTCCCTCTCCTTGAAAGAACTTCCCAGCCACGGTTTTTTAATCCACCTATTGCTCCTGAAGTCGTCACTATACCAACAGTCACAACCCAATGGCAATAATAAGGCACTGGTGGTAGTTGGCCTATGATGCCACACACCATTTGGAGATGCCAACACTATTAAATCTTGCCACGCGGTCTTCCTGGTGAATTGGTGACGGTTATTATAGCCATGGAGAAAATGCAGGACATGTTACAGTCATTTGTTCTTCTTGTCTGTCTATGTCCTTAGCCTGGTGGGCATTTCAGGCTGCTACAGCAGGCCCTCAAGTCAGTTTGCAGGGTTTAAGCAGTCATGACCCACAACAGCACATTTGATAGTCTTTCAGACCAATTTTGGAAAGAAAAAAAAATGTATTTAAAAAAAATTGAGTAAAATCTGGTCGGATCTCAGATGCTGTAGCCCTTTGAGCCTTCCCATCATGAGCACACTGGGCACTATATGACCCTGTTCCCACTTGGTGAGAGCCGAGATATGGAGAGTGTCATCACACACCCCCAGCTGTGCTGAAACTAAGTGGTTCTTAAAAACATAAGTAACTAAGCTCTCGGCCACTAGTCACATGGCCTCCTATTCTTACCCATGATCCTCTTGGCCTTATTATATGACATTTCTCTGAGCAAACCACTAGGGCATGAATCTAATGCTGCAAAGGCATTGTCATCCCTGGGAGCCTCAAATCTCCTGTTTCACACAGTAAGGACTGAATATGGTCACCGCAGGCTCCTCAGCTTCCAGGATTCTCGTTCTACACAGTCTAAGATGGGACCCCTAACTGCCATGTGTGGCAGTTACTGTTCATATCTGAGTCCGTTGAATTTATTTTATCATCATTTGTGCTCACACTGCGTCTCTTCGTTTCCGTCATTACAGAAGGTTCTAGGCAGCACTGCTCTAGACTTTGTTCAGTATCGGGACAGCCTGCCTTGTGCTGTGAAGCCTGTGCCCAGGTGTCCAAGCTAACCAGTTGGCCAGCTGACAAGGAGTTTGTAACATCAGAATGCTTACATGGGACTTAACATCCATTCACTATTCTAATTCTCACCAAAATAAACTGTATGATCTGAATCTGTGCGGCATCTCCCTGTCATGAAACAAGCTCTTAGCAAGAAAAGGTGGAACAAACTCTTAGCAAGAAAAGGTGGGTGGAGCAGCATGCCGAGAACATTGTGCCATAGCCCTGGGAGTTCAGAAGGACCGAAATGTAGGTGTCTCCTCTGCAGCCACAGGAGCCCTACACTCGTGCACATGATTCTGTAGAGTGTGTAGAGAAGTAATACTGAGGGAGCAGCAGGCACCAAAGTGGCACAACCATCTCGAGGATCATCTGCAACATTCAGTGGTAGGAGAATCTTAACAGTTAAATAGAGTGGGCAGGGGAAATTTTCTCCAAGTGAATTCAAAATCTAGAAGTAGGAAGAAATGTCAAAAAGTTATTCCTTCTCTCTTTTCCACCTTCTTCTCGGAGAGGCAGCTTCGCTTCTGCCTCTCTCCCCACTTCTCTGCTTGTCTCTTTCTCCTCTTCTCTCTCTCTCTCTCTCTCTCTCTCTCTCTCTCTCTCTCTGTCCCCCCCCTTCACCCTTCCTCCTCCATAACCCCCTAAATAAACATTTAACCTCACCCTAAAAAAAAAAGTTATTCCTTAAGCCAGCAGTGGTGACACGTGCCTTTAATCCCAGCTCTCTGGAGGCAGAGGCAGGTGGATCTCTGAGTTTAAGGCCAGCCTGGTCTTTCCAGTTTCAGGACAGCCAGGGCTGTACAGAAAGAAACCCTGTCTCAAAAAAAAAAAAAAAAAAAAAAAAAAGTTATTCCTTAAAATAGTTCTAGGTCCCAGAAAGAATCTCCAGAGTGGAACTAGCTAAAAGTTCAGTTTACATTGAGAATGCTCCTGCTAAAAATATGGACAAATATAATGTGAAAAAAGAAAACACTGCTTTTACATAGGAATATAAATGCAAAAGTCTTAAATAAAAGATCAGCAAGTCAAAAGATACTGCTTCTTGACCAAGGTTTTATCACAGGAATGCAAGGATGGTTTAAGAATAGACAGGACTGGGCCTGGGGTACAGGCCTGTAATCCCAGCTACTCAGGAGGCTGAGGGAGGGGGATTAAAAGTTTAACGCATGCCTTGGCTACAGAATGACATCAAGGCCAACCTAGGCAACCTGATGTAACCATATCTCAAAAATAAAAAATAACAAGGGGTCTGGGAATATAGCTCAAGAATAGAATACCTGCCTAGCATATCAGAGACCCTGTTCAATTTCAGATGTTAAGGGAAGAGAAAGGAAACAAACCATTTCTATAAATCACCATTTAGTGCAGTTAAAAAGCAAACCACCAATTATCTTAATGTTATAAAGACTTAGCTGTATATATCCCTGGATTTTTTTCAAGGAAAAACTAATTATTGTTGTTGTTGTTATTGTTGTTATATGCATGATGTCAATGTGTGTTGTGGGCACATATTGCCATGTGCACCGTGTGCACTTCCAAGGACAGATCTGTAGAGTCGGTTCTCTCCTCCCCCTTTTTGTGAACTCTGCACTTGAACTTTGCTTGTCAGGGTTGTGCAGCAAGCTATTACCTGTTGAACCATCTCACTGGCTCCTGTATTATGAATTGTAACATTTTTATTCCTTTATAAATAAAAAGATGTCTTAAAGATTGTAGAATCTGATAAATAAATTCAAGCCGTGGAGCAAGGCCAATGGGTAAGAAAGCTTGTTCTGCAAACCTGAGAACCTGAGTTTAAATCCCCATCCCCACATCAAAAACTGAGCATGGCTTCTGACCAAGATTACAATACTATAACTTTAGAAGAAGATAGCTCTGTTGAAGAGTGTCTGTTTAGACTATGCAAGGCCCTAATCCCATTGCCGGGGGTGGGAATGACTGAGGGTGGGCACTTTCCCCACCGGCTGACACATTTATTTTTTGTTGTCACTGCAATAGATTTATCTTGAAGACACAGCATAAGGCAGGGTTTAACCTAGCTCATGGCGCAATGAACATAGTGCCAGCAGAAGCTTCCCATGGCAGTGGGAACTGACATCTACAGTCAGAAGCAAAGCTAGGTTCTATGTCCCAAAGGTTCCGCAGCCTTTCCTAATAGCACCAACAACTGGGGGCCAAATATTGAAATGTGTAAGCTTCTGCGGACGTTTCATCTTCCAGTAGCACACACACATTCACATACGAAAAGCTACCATGCTGTATTTCATCAGATGTGCATACCATGGATTGTAAGATGCTGGCACTTTATGAACCATTAGGAAACCCTGACAATTAGTTGTACACCGTTTGCTCAGTCCAGAGATATTGAAATGTGAAAAATGAAGAAATTGCATAAATACCAGGGCTAGAAACTACAAACGATCACTGAAACGGAAACAAAGCAACTAGAAATCAATACAAGGTATGTTTCCCGCAGGCAGGAACAGATCTGTTACATAGGTAAAGTAACTGGTGAAGCATGGGAAAATATGGATGGAATTACACTGACTTCCTAAGGAAGGGTTTCTAGTCGTGAGACTAGAACCCAGACTTCGGAATTTGATACCTGATAAAAAAGGGCCCCTCTTACCAAAAGCCACATTCCAAACAGTAAAGTAGCAAGCTCTTATTTCTCAGCATCTCTGCCTGTGGTAGAGCCTGACCAGCTACTAAACAAGATTTACTTCTGACTGTGAGTAGCCTAAGTACTGTGTCCCTTCAAGGTTGTTCCCCCAAGAACCCAGCACACCAGGAGGCCTCTGCTGGAGGAACTGGGACCACAGGTGAGTTCTCCCTTTGCTGGGCTCTCCAGAAATGACCTCTCCCAGTCCCCATTCAGAGGATGGAAGGTCTTAGAGTCTGTGTTCACCCCTGTCTTCACCCTCCTATTCAGAGACCTGCTCCCCTGTGCTTTTTTTTCCTGGTCATCCCAGACCCACCTGCCAGCTCTCCCTGTCCCTGTCCAGCTCAGCTCTGCCAGCTGGGATCAGGAATGTTGGCTGGGACAAGGCAGTGTCTCATAACACTCCCAAACCTGCTGCAACTTCATCTCTACCACCATGGGTCATGAGACTGCAGAGGGGCTGTAACACCCGGTTTTGGTGTTACACCCTCGGTACAGCTCGCGTGCCACTGTACCAAAAGCGAGCCGGGCAAGGCCTGGAGGTTAAACACAAGACACAGAGACCAGGGTCATTCGAAAGGAGATCAACCCGAATGCCGTTTATTCAGACTTGGGAAGGTCCTTTTCTACCTAACTGCAGCACTAGGACCCCCACCCAGGCAGGTAGGAAATTACCATACCAACAATGGAATGAATGCCCTGCAGCTAATCACCAGGCGGGGCAGGGGAAACATAGGAACTTAACCAGGCAGGGCAGAACACTAGTCATCTGACTAGAAACTGTATGCGCCCTAGGAATAAGGGCTGAATGCTAGGTCATGTTGACCAGAAATTGTCCTCGAGATGCACCCCAGGAATAAGGGCAGACCAGGGCCCTACGAGGGGCAGCCAGGGACCTGCTTCCTGCCAGGTGGGGGCAGAGGGTTAGGGCCAATCTATGGCCCCTACCCTGTTTCCCTCTCCTTGCACCTGCGCACCAAGCCTGGAAAGGGTGTTTTAGTAAGGGGAGAGGTAGGAGCACCCTAGGCAGGTGCCAGACCAAGTGTGGTAAATGTAACAGAGACCAAGTCTGGTCTAGCAGATTACAACATTCCTCATGGACAGAGAAAGATATTGCTGGACCTCTGACCTTGTGAGATGTGGCCTGAGAGACATCAAAACAGTCTGGGGACAGCAGGCTGGAAAGATACAGGGAACCTCCAGGGTTAGGTGTGGGAGCCTGTGACCCAATTTGCTAGGAGCCTAGAGAGAAAACAGACCAGGGCCCTGAGGCCAACCCACCTAGACATTACAGTCGCCTCTCTGCCCCCCTGCATGGATACCTATACTTTTGGGCAGGGTTGGGTAGGGACTCACTCTCCTGTTATAGAATAGATTTTTTTTTTTATGTGTTTGTTTCTCCCCCATCAAAGTGTACTGTGTTGCCCTTGGAGACCAGAAGAGAGCATTGAACTAAGTGATAGATGGTTGTGAGCTGTCCTGTGTGTGCTAGGAATTGAACAGTGGCGCCCTGCAAGAGCAGCAAGTGCTTCTGACCACTAGGCCATCTCTCCAGCCCCTGTTATGGACTTAGAAATGTCACATAAGCCAATAAAAAGTTAGAGCCAAGCCCGGAGGTGGTGGCACATGCCTTTAATCCCAGCACTTGGGAGGCAGAGGCAGGCGGATCTCTGTGAGTTCGAGACCAGCCTGGTCTACAAGAGCTAGTTCCAGGACAGGCTCCAAAACCACAGAGAAACCCTGTCTCGAAAAAAAACAAAAAAACAAAAAAAAAAAAGTTAGAGCCAAACTAAGTTGGTGTCAAAGATTCGGGGCTTAGCTCTCCCTAGCACCTGGGATCTAACAAGCCTGGGGACCTGGGTTCCATCCCTGGAAACCCACATGGTAGCAGGAAAAAAAGTGACTCTTACAAATTGCCCTTCACATACATGTGATGGCATGCGTGCATGCACACACACGTTCCTACATGAATAAGTATAATTTTTAAATTAATCTTAGCCCAGGGATGAGAGTCCTTTCAGGTGTCTTACATGTAACCCTCCCTGCAGGCTTTCCTGCCACCCCATTGCTGTAGTCTGAAGTGACTTCATCAGCCTGCTCCAACTGCCACCAAAAGCAGAGACCAGAGCCAGTGCTGTGGTGGCGGCCTATGGTCCCAGCACTCAGGAGGCTGGAGCAGGATGATTGCCCAGAGTCTGAGACCACCCCCAGGCTACACAGCAAGATCCTGCCTCAAAAGCAAAACAAACAACAAGAACAACCCATAGCTGGGTGTGGTGGTGCATACTTTTAATCCCAGTGGGGCAGAGGCAGGCAAATCAAAGAATTCAAAGCTAACCTGAGCTACAGAGTGAGTTCCAGGACAGCTGAGGCTACACAGAGGAGCTCTGTGTTTGGGGTTTTTATTTTTTCTTTTTTTCCTGTGATGGTCCTCCGGTATTGACCAACCAGCAAAAAGAGTAGGGTTGCAGCAGGCTGAGGGAGGCAGTTTGATCATGTCAACTTTCCAGCTTATCCCAGTGGACCAAGCTCCAGGTGCCTTCTAGGACTTGCTGAGAGTCACTGGAATCCTCACCCCCACCTTTCTGGTCCTCCCTCCCTCCCTCTGTCATCCCCCTATGCTCTCCTGTTTTCTGTGAGGATGACTGTAGTCATGTCCAGGGTCTATCTCTGGGCCTGGGAAGTCTGGTCTCCCCGGGGTATGCAGGGCCTGCTTTTACCTGCTGTTCAAGGGCACGTCACAGGACCCAGAATGGAGGTTTCCTGGGAGGTGCCAAGCTGGGAGGGTTTGGAGACGTGAGTCTGAGATCCGTTGAGAGATCTCAGAAGGGAGCAAAGGACTCTTACTGCCTGCACAGGGAAGCAAGACGGGAGTGGCTCACTGACAGACCAAAACCAGGGAGGAGAAAAGCTGAGACAACTCTCCATTTCGCAAGCCCTTTCACAGGAGGCCCTGTGTACGTGCCTGCTGAGGTCAGGCTGCATCTTGCCCTATGTTATTCCACATTGTGTGAAACAGTGGCTTTTCACACTGCCTCCCCCCAAGAGACCCCGTTTACAGGCATCTTTGTACTCTAGATGGAAGATGCACGTCCGACATCATCCTCATGGCACGGAGTAATCACTGATTATTTCTGGAAGTAGCAAAGGTACTACTCTATAATTTATCGTGGTGGATTGGGACTGTAGGGGCATGTGAGCATATTAAAATCATATCTGGAAGATCAGATTCAAGAATTTACTGGGCATACCCGGCCATGGAAAGTATGTATGTAATCCTTCATCTGAACCCCATACAGAAGTAAACATCCAGCAGTTGGATGGTGACAGTCCTCATGGACCCATTTCTCACCACCCAGCATGTAACAAGGACTGACTAACAGGCAAAGAACACCCACCTGTCTCAAAGACTTCATGCTGTGTGATTCTGTCTGCCCATCCTCCTGTTGTCCCCTCTGGTACTGCCTCCATCCTTCAGCTCATCCCATTGTCTGGACCAGTCTTGCCCTTTGCCCCAGCAGCTGGAGTCAGCTCTCCCAGTTCACTCTCAAACCTATGACCCTCAGTGTCCTGACTCAGGGCCACTGCCTCTCCAACTTCTCCAGTTTCCTTTAGTTCACTATCAGAGGCTCCTGTCGCTGACAGTTTCCCAGCTTTGGCTTCTCAGGCCTGTCAGAAACTCTAAAACCCCTTGCATCTTTTAACCCTTTGCAGCCATTCCATAATCTGTATGTGTACATATATAGAGATACATTTACTGTGTGATACGCCGTGTACCATTGGAGAGTAATCAAGATTAAAATACGAGAACTCATGTTGCCTCAGCCAGGACTGTCAAGAAAAGCAGGAGTATCTGGCAAATAGTTTTGCCATTGAAGATGCTGTACCTTGTAGATTTGTTGTCAATAAAACATGACATTGTGAAAAACACCAACTCTTTGTCTATATTCTTAAAAGCATGCTCACGACAGTGGCTAGTTGACACGCCAAGCAGCACCCTTTTCTCAGTGCCCTCAACCCCAGGAAGCTTCACGTCACCCCCACATAAACAGAGCTCCCTGACGGAGAGACCTGTGACTGGACTGTAACTACCTTCTCCCTGAACTTCTCTTATGGCAGACAGTCCTGCTGCCCTGGAATCTCTACGCAAATAAGGTGCCAGAGGAACATGGAATTTGCATGGAGGGTGTGTGAAGGCTCTCAGGCAAATGGGCTGACTGTGTTTGCAGGCTCAGAACCCCACACCCTCTTTTTAAACAAAGGCAGATCCTGCCCAGAGACATGATAGACCTCTCGGTGGCCAGCTGCGCGGAGAACCTCTCTGCTTCCAGCCCTTTTAGCCTGTGAGGCAAGGGCAGGTGAGTGGCTGCCACAGCTCAGGGGAGGCCCTAGGAGCACTGGCCCTGATTTTGCTCTTGCTGAGACCAGGCGTGTGCTGATGGGCAGGCTGTGACCTCTGAGATCTCCTGGAAGCCACTGTGCCAGGTAGGCAAGGTGACCTCCTCCAAGATGGTTGGGCCACGGGGATGGCAGAAGGGAGACAGACTCCAGAGACTTGAGCCAGCACCTGTAGCTCCCTGGGATTCCACATTCTGAACTGTGAGAGGCAGTGTTGGTGCTTACTCTTAGGCCCATAGGCCTGGCACAGTGTCTGCTCCAAGCACTGGAGAGCAGGGACAAGTGTCCAATATTAATTTGAAGAGGGCACCCTGCCCTAAGGAGTAAGCATTCCATCTACTCACAATAGGTCGTGTCTGGGGCCTTTGGTTGGGACTCCTTTGTCCTCATTCCCTGTCCAACCATCAGGATGCATAAGCTCCAGAGCCTTTGTCCCGAGAGTACCCTGTGGTTATCACTCATTCCTGGAGTCCTGGCAGGAGCGGAGATTTGGGCTTATGGCTGCCCTTCCAGGCCTCCATTTATTTAAATAGGGAATTGGAACAAGAGCAATGCCTTCCCCTTCCTGAAGTCCCTAGGCTCTGCCCACCTGAACAACAGCCCAGGCCCCACCTACCTGGGCCACAGATCATAGGCTAGCATGGAGACCCCATAGGATTCTCTAAGGGATGGTGCTCTGTCTTGTTCGGTGAGCCTGGGGTCCTTGCAGCAAGTTCTCCAGAATTACTGCGAAGGCAAATGGCCTTAAAGGGCAGCATCTATCCTTCCTGGCCCAGATGGCGGTCCTCTCTAGGTGAAGGAAGGAAGGAAGGGGCGGTCTGCACTGCCACCTCATGCTGCGACTTTGCCTTTTGCAGACTGAAAGCACTCAGGGTCAGGAGGACTTGGCACTTACTGGGTGAGCAGACGAATGGGTGGATGAATGCTACACCAGGCTCTAGATATTCCTTTCAGTGGCTGACTCGCTCCCGTAGTTCGGGTCCCGGGATGTGGGGATCCTCACATGCCCACATTTAGGATAATGCTGCCTGGCCCTAGCAGAGGAGCCCTTGTCCACTTCTATGAGCCTGTCTCCTCACTTGTAAAATAGGCTTGCTGCCGGCTCCGCCACAGTGTTGGGGCCGGCTCTTACTGGTGTCTACTAACCACTCCCTCCCCTGTGGCTACCCTGGCCTTGATGGGGTGCAGGAGTAAGATGCTGCGGAAGCGAGCCCGAGAAGAAGACAATGCGGTGCTGATTGACATGGCCTCCCTCGAACCAGGGAATGGGTCCTCTTATGGAAGCACAGCCCATGCTGCGGAGGTACCCTCAACCCTAGGGGTAGCGGTGGGCATGGTGAAAGCGCCCTTCTCCCCCCTTCCTAGACTCATGAGGCTCCTGCATGCTGTCTGATTTGGGAGGTCTCCCACCTAGTCAGGACGATAGCCCTTATCCTAGAGCCCTTGAAAAGTGGGTGCAGCATCCAAATGCCCCCCAAGGGGACAGATGCCTTCTTGACACACAATCAGGTCACCATTCACCTCTGTGAAACTAGGAGGGACAAGCAGAGACCCTGTTAGATGGGAGACTCAGGAGGAGAGAAGGCAAAGATAGGACCAAGGTGCGGGGGCTGGTCCCCCTCTGCCGGAGCCACCAGGAAAGGAAGGAAATGAGGGCCACATACCATGATGGGAGGGAGGATGGGGAGTCACCCATGAATTCTGATGCACGCAAAGGACTGTCAATACCAAAACGCAGATAGCAAAGGCACGAGGTGACCACACCCTAGGTGGTTTATTGCTTCCGTACTTTCTCTTCTGGAAGTGAAAAGGTGCTTGTGGCTTAGTCTCTGGTCAGAAAAGTAGCTCTTGAAGGGAGCCCACTCCTGCTAGAGGAAGAGCATTGTAGCCATGTCCTGGCTAGGATGGGCAGTGCAGTTAGTGGAAGGTGGAGGGGAGGTTGGTTAAGGTCAAGAGTGGGCCTGGGACTCCCCGAAGACTAAAGTTTGAGTAGGGAACCAGGGAAGTTAGGCTTGGGATAAGGGTTAGTCCCCCAAGAGACAGGTAGACTTTCTGTTGGGTAGCCCACTGACATCCCAAGTAGGCTGGGAGCACTGGGAGTCCCAGTCTTTGAAGCCACACAGGAGGCACTACTCCTTCCCTAGAGCTGCCCCAGTAATCTGAGGGTAAATGTAAGTTCGCCTTTCTATCATCCCTCTGTACCATGAAGTGAGGCCCCCAGAGAGGAGAGCACAAAGCTTTGCCCTCCAACGGGAAAAAGAATAGAAGAAAGACAAGAAGGAGTCTATACTCTGGTTGCTCTGACTTGCCCTCAGGGCCACAATGTGGGCATCGTGGAGACAAAGAAGAGCATTCAGCACAGCTCTGACCGTGGCTTTCGCCACAGGCCTGGCGGAGCACTCCTAGCCCAGTGGGGGCTGGTGAGGAAGATGAGGATGGTGGCGGCTGGTCGCTAACGTACCCTTCGAATTCTGCCTTTCAGCATCTTCTGTCCTTCAGCCCCCAGCTTTTCTCTCTTCACGCCCCTCTCTTAGCAGGGTGGTCGGGGCAGGGCCAGAGCAGGGTCGGGAGACAGGGATGAGCGGGAAGGCCGAGGAAGAAATGAGAAGGGGCAGGAAGAATTAGGGAGGGTTGAAGAGGGTGCGAGGTGGAGACAGGAGGGACAGGGAGGGACAAAGAAGAAGGTAGAACAATGGTTCTGTCCTCAGCCTATGGCTCGCGACCCCTTGGGGGTCTCATATCACAGGGTTTGCTTATCAGAATCCTGCATATCGGATGTTTACAATTCATATCAGTAGCAAAATTCCAGTTATGAAGTAGCAACGAAATAACTTCATGGTTTGAGGGTCACCATAAGGAACTGCGTGTTAGAATGCGTTACGAAGGCTGAGAACCTCTGAGGCAGAAGAAGAGAGCTGCCCGGGACTGCGGCAGGAAAGGAGGGAGTCATGCTGATGCCTGGGTGCTGAAGGTGTTCCTCCTTCCTTCAGGCAGGTAAACAGCAGGTGGCACCCAGCAGAGTTGGGAGCCCGGCCCAACCCCCGATTGGTAAGCCATCTGTACTCCTTCCTGGGGTGGGGTCACAAATGGGGTGCCTTGGGTGGTGACAGGAAGCCAAGAGGCTTGGATTACTCCATAATCAGGCCTCCTGTGATGTTCCCTGTGTTCTGGGGACAGCTGTAGTCCTGAGGGTGAGGGGACAGCTGCCTGCTGAGCAAGCGACAGGCAGAGCAGCCACAGGAAAGGAAGGTTCACACTGACCAGAGGGCTCAGAGAGGAAAACCCATTCCGCTGCTCCAGCCTTAGACAGACTAGCCCCCTCCCCTCCTGGTTTTTATCCACAAATTCTGGTCATCTCAGACTCTTTTCTCTTGTACCACATCTTTTTCTACCTTTATATTTTCTCAGGCCCACTTCTACCATCCCCCCCCCAGGCTCAAAGTCACCTTTGTTCTTTGGTGGGCCCAGAAAGGTGTCTATCTGGGTGGGGTCAAGGACCCACCCTCTCCATCAGCTCCAAAGGTTCAGTAGATGACTCTTGCCCTCCTAAGCATGCCTCTTACAGAAAAGTGAAGTCAGGCAAAGGTCTGTGGGAGGGGATGGAGGGGGATGCAAAATGGCATGCACAGAAAACCCTGAAGATTCCATGGAAAAGGGGCATACACTCACGTGGGGCTCAGCAATTCTCTCTGCAAGTGGTCAAGGGAGGAAAATGTTGCTATTGCTGGGGTTTTTCAGGCTGTTGTTTTGAAACAGCTTTGTTGATAAATAATTTACATACCGCAAAGTCACCCATTCCTTCTTTCTGTTGTAAGATGGACGTTTGTTTGCAAGCGTTTATATGGACACACTTTTAATTTTTTCTTGAGTTGATAGTTTTGGGTGCTATTGGTAGGTCACAAGGGAACTCAGTGTTTAACCTTTGGTGCCAATGCCAGACTGTTTTCCAAAGAGCGAGTTACGTGTCTCACATAGGACCACAGCGTGCGAGGTCACACTCTCTCAGCACAGCCCAGAAGCTACCATTGCCTCTCTTTGGCACAGCGGGTACGAAATGTTGTTAGAGGAAATCAGCGTCGGAGATTCTGCTTAGGAGACATAAAGCCACACGTTTAACTAGAGTGTTGCCTCCAAATGACCCCACAGGATACGTAGTCTGCAAACCGGGCCTGTTGGAGACAAGCAAAATTTAGCATGCAGATGTTTCCACACTGGGACTGTGCAGCTGTCAGGCCCCAGTCCCATACCAAAGACTCATCTCCACAGGGAGCCCAAGGGAGGCAGTACAGGGTCGCAACCATCATTAAGATCTTGTCTGCTGTGAAGTCCCCTGTGTTCTTATCAGGGAAAGCATCATTCTGCCAGGAGAAGAAGAGACCGGGGTGACGATTATTAGCTGTGGCGATATCTTTGCGGTATAACTCTCCATCAGCCTAAGCGGCCACCCTTGCAGTCCTGTCTCAATGTTTAAATTGTCTGAAGCGTAACCTGGGGCCAGGACCCGAAATGACTGAAGGATGACTGTGCACGTGAGATGCATGAGCCTGAGGTGTTTGCAAGCTAGAGAAACCTCTCTCTTATTTTGGCATCAGCGCCCACCCCTCACCCATCAGCCAGGGGCTTCAGGAAAGAGCTGTCCTTCATCTCTAAGTGCACTCGTGATTGCTCACTGAGAAGGCCAATTAGTTCCATAATATTATCTCGCTATTGACTGGGTGTGTGTTTTCCTAATGACTAATGGTATTGACTGTCTTCTTGTGCCAACTGGACATTCCATATCTTCTTCAGACAAATGTCTATTCAAACTCTGCCTACTTTTAAGTTGGTTGTGTGTGTGTGTCTGTGTGTGTCTGTGTGTGTGTGTGTGTGTCTGTGTGTCGGTGTCTGAATGGTTGTTAGATTGCAAAAGTCCTCTAAATTCTGGATGCAAGTCCCTTATCAGAAATACATTTCGGAAATATTTTCTCCTATTCTCCGTGTTGCCTTAACCTTTTTGATGGCGTCCTCTGCGAAAATTGGTCTTATCAACTTTGTTTTATTGTTGTGCTTTTGCTTGACCCAAGAAATCACACCTAACAGGTTCCTTTAGGAGTTTGGGACCTAGACTGTGGGAACCAAGCTACAGAAGGAATCCCAGGAGGACACGCCCAGTTCCTCCCCAGCCTCTGTTCTTGATCTGCATCGCACACTCGCCTGCCTGCCCTCCAGCCCTAACTACTACTAAGAGGAGAGCAGTCCAGGCTCTCACTTCCCATCACAAGCCCTGTGCCCCAGCTGAGACCCTAGCAACCCCGCCCTGGGCCCGCATCCCATCAGCAAGCACGCGCTGCCTTTGTCCCTATTGGTCCCTGCAGATTTTGTTCTGGTTTGGGAAGAAGACCTGAGGAATCAAGAGAGTCCTTCCCAGGACAAGACAGACACACATGAGATCTGGAGGGATACCTTTCTGGAAAATCTTCGTCTGGCTGGCCTGAATGTAGACCAGGTACATGGTGGTAGGAGCAGGGCTTATAGAGATTCTGCATTCTGAAGGGAAGGCTTACTACCTAAAGATAGGAAGCAATCAGGGCCCCCAGGTCCTTCTGGATACCCACCCTTCCTGTGGCTTGGGAGCCACAGACCCCAGGCTGGCAAGAACAGGGATCCATCCTAATGCATTAGGCTCACCATCATGTGAGCCCTGGGTGCTGGCTGGGGCAGGCAGGTAACAGGGATCTCAGGGTTAGGGGATGTGAGGAGCCCTGTCTTATCCCCATGCCCTTCACTGCCAGGTCTTTACATACATATTCTTCCTCCTCCACCACCCCAGCCACCTTCCTCTGTCCCCAGCAGAGCTGTTATCATCATAGCTCCCACCACAAGAATCAGTTGTGACACTCTGCTAATCAGATCATCCGGCACCTCGGCTTGGCTCTGTCGGTCTTTTACCCATAGAGTCTTGCTTCTTTCATTCTTTTGTGGCCTGTGAGGTTCTCCTGAGCAGCAGGTGCTGTCCAGCTTTGCTGTGGGATGCTGGGTGGGTGCTTTAGTCCCCCTCGAGGACCCCATCGGCAGCTACCTGTTGTCAGTCATCGCGCGCGGGGGGGGGGGGGGGGGGGGGGGGGGGGGGTGTGTTATATTGCATCTCTCCTGGGAGCAGGATTGACGGTTACCTGAGGTTACAGCTGTGACCACACCCTTTCTCTCGACTGGTGACCTAATTCACACTGTCCTCTGGGGTGAGCCAGCACCTCCCTGCTCTGAATCTTCCTCAACACGTGGCATTGTCAGCCTTTCCCATCTCCACCAGTCTGTTGATAGACAGCGACAGCGGTACCTCACCCTAGCTTTCATTTTCTTTTTTGGATTTTTTGTTTGTTTGTTTGTTTTTTGAGATAGGGTTTGTCTGTAGCTTTGGAGCCTGTCCTGGAACTCACTCTGTAGTCCAGGCTGGCCTCAAACTCACAGAGATCTACGGATCTCTGCCTCCCCAGTGCTGGGATTAAAGGTGTGTGTGCGCCACCACTGCTCGGCATCCCAGCTCTCATTTTCATTTTCCCTCAGTTCTAAAGAAGTTGTGCTGTTTTACACATTTATGAGCCCTTTGTATTCCCATGAAACTTTTCTTTGACTTATTGTGGGGTACCTTCTCCCAACCATAACCCAGCTGAATGAAACCAGTACCTAGACCTGGGTAGGATTAAAAATACATCAAATGCACCCATCATACCAAACGCTCCAGCTCAGCCACACGGTACACTGTACAGGGCAGCCATTCCCCTTACCAGGAACTGTGCTCACAGCAGCTTCCCCGCATCATCAGAGAGGGTGGGACCCAAATCCAAAGTCTGGTGTGCACATACGCATATTGTTATGAGCAACCTGTCCTAAAAGAGATCCAGAACTGAGCCATCTAAGGCCGGGAGCAGCTGTGAAGCCAGCTACAATCTTTTCTGTTGGGTCACTTGTCTATTTCTACCCAGTTGTGTGGAACTCATTTGTTCTAGACATGTAGATTGCTGGTGACATGGGTCACTTTTTTTTTTTTTTTTTTTTTTTTTTTGGTTTTTCGAGACAGGGTTTCTCTGTGGCTTTGGAGCCTGTCCTGGAACTAGCTCTGTAGACCAGGCTGGTCTCGAACTCACAGAGATCCACCTGCCTCTGCCTCCCGAGTGCTGGGATTAAAGGCGTGCGCCACCACTGCCCAGCTTTTTTTTTTTTTTTTACATATTATTTTATGTGCAATGGTGTGAAGGTGTCAGATCGCCCAGGGACTGGATTTCCCTGGATTTACATACACTTATGAACTGGCAAGTGGGTGCTGGGAATCGAACCTGGGTCCTCTGGAAGAGCAGTCAGTGCTCATAACTGCTGAGCCATCTTTCCAACCCCGAGTTTTGTTTGTTTTAACTGACTGACAGAGCTTCTTTTGACTCCTAACCACTGTTCTAGTCCTGTGAAGAGACTCCATGACCAAGGCAACTCAAACGGAAAGCATTTAGTTGGGGGCTTGCTTACAGTTCCAGAGAGTTAGTTCCTTATCATCACAGCGGGGTGCACAGTGACAGGCAAGGCTGGTGCTGGAGCAGTAGCTGAGGGCTACATCCTCATCTGTAGTCAGACAGACAGACAGACAGACTGGGCCTCACAGCCCAACCCACCCCACTCCCACACACTTCCTCCCACAAGGCCACACCTCCTAATCTCTCTAATCCTTTCAAAAATTTCCACTCCCTGGGGACTAAGAATTCAACTATGTGAGCCTATAAAGGCCATTCTTATTCAAACTGGAACAGCCTCTGACCCTGTATGTTCCATAAGTTACACACACACACACACACACACCATCCATCTACCCAACCACAACCTCCCCCAACACATTGTCCAAAGTCCCCTCAGGCTTGACATTACAAGGCATTCTCAGCTCTCTGCATGTCAGAACCACAAGGGTGCCCCAAATGACCAGGAACGTGTCTGTCCCCACGCGCAGGGTATGGTTTTTACACGGACATTTGGGGAACCCTAGGTGGTTGTGATGTACCACAAGGGCCGAGAGAGAACCTCTGGAATGTTCTTTTTTAAATATGTCTATATTTGCCGGGTGGTAGTGGCACAGGCCTTTAATCCCAGCACTTGGGAGGCAGAGGCAGAGGCAGGAGGATCTCTGTGAGTTCGAGGCCAGCCTGATCTACAGAGAGTTCCAGGACAGGCTCAAAAAAAAAAAGTCTTTACTCCACAGAGGCTCTTGTTTGTGGGATCACAGTCTCACCTCTCTCCCAGGGCTCCCAGTCAGCATGGACATTCAATGTTAGAGAATTTGCGGGGAGATATAAAATTAACATGTGTCTCTAACCCTCCAGCCTAGGACAGCAACGACAGCTCAAAGGATGGCTCGGACATCCTTTATTTATACATCTGTATAAATAAGTGTATTGGGAATGTCTAGGCAGCAACGATGGACTACAGACTGCTGTACATACCCAAGCCATCATCCATCTTTCTAAGTCTACAGTAGAATCAGTATAAACCTGGGCTTACAGCACTAGCTGGAGCTAAATCAGCAGTGACTACAAGCTCGAACAGCATAAGGCACAGACAAAACCCAACCTGGAGAAGCTTTATTCTTTTTTTAATTTTTATTTTATGTGCATTGGTGTTTTTGCCTTCATGTCTGTGAGGGTGTCGGATTCCCCCGGAACTAGAGTCAAAGACAATTGTGAGCTGCCGTGTGGGTGCTGGGAACCGAATCCGGGCCCTATGGAAGAGCAGTCAGTGCTCTTAACCACCGAGCCATCTCTCCAGCTGCGAAGCTTTGTTCTTATGTGATCCTTATCCTTGTCTCTGTCGGGGATTCTGCTGGTCTCAGTAAACAATGTCTGGCCACGAGGAAGGCTTGTTTTGGTATAGTCTGACACATAGTTAAGTGGAGGCTTGTTGCAAAATGGAGTCAGTCTCTCTGGGTGTGGAGATCTAGTTTCATTACAGTTTTGCGCAGACACAGGGGTGCACGTATTTACTTAGGCATGCGGAGAACAGTGTGAATTTCTGGTCACTGACCATTGCCAGACAAAGCTGCATTTGCGGCCCCTTTAACCAGAAGATGGCCTAGGTCTTAGTGCGGTCTCTCAGAAGCTGTGCATGGGTCCCCAGACTTTGAGGAAGGGTTGCTTTGATTATCATTGTCTTGGGAGAGAATGCAGGTAGCATGGGCCCCAGATGTGAGGTCTCTGTGGAGGACATGCTGTCTCCACAAGCTTTCTGGGGCAGACCTTGGAAGTGAGCATTCCCGCTGAGAGGGTCCCCAGCCATTGACGGTCCATCAGCACCAGGGCTACGCCAGTGTAAGCCCTCTCCTAGATGCGAATAGACACAGAGATCATAGCAACACCCTCAGGCCCTCACGCAGCCTCTGGTACCCACAGCATGATGTCCAGGACAAGGCCACTGCAGTTCACTATGTCCTCCTCAGAGCGCCCTGGGCTGTGCTCTGTTACTATGCGGAAGACCTGCGTCTGAAGCTGCCTCTGCAGGTATGGGGGGAGGGGGGTGAGGGCAGAGGGAGAGGATGGGGCTCCCCACCCAGGTCTACATTTAATGGATCCCTGCACACTGGGCTCAGCTGCCAAAACTATCACTCCTTGGATGTGTTCCCACCTGGGAACCTCGAGTTTCCCTCTGATCTGCTGTCACCTGGAACACCAAAACACCCATTGGGTGAACAGCGGATAACACCCTGCACGGCAGGCTCAGGAATTTAAAAAGCTGGCACTGGGGAGGGTAGCCAAGGCTGTAAGGCGGCTGAGTTGGCTGAGTTCTCTACAGGCCCAGAACCCACAGTACCAGGATGAAGGATAGCCGCCTCTCTGGGCCCCCAGAATGATGAGCCTGGACTGCTCACAGTGGGTTTCTCCAGCATGGCTCTGGGGTAGACAGAGACACACTGTTCACTCTCTTTCATTCCCTAGTGACTTGAGCAGTTCTGGTCCTCAATTTAACAAGTCAAGCAACTCTCAGAGCCCAAGGCCCCCAAAGGGGAAGGGCCCGCAACAGGACCAAGAGTAAGAGCTGTCATTTCTCACTGCTGCGCCCTTGGACTGGAGTCCCATTTGCGGATATGGCCAGTCTCCTCCCAGCTGTGAAGATTTCTCTCTGAACAGTTTTTTTCTTTCCCCCAGGAATTTCCCAACCAGGCTTCCAACTGGTCGGCCACGCTCCTGGAGTGGCTGGGCATCCCCAACATCCTGCTGGAGCAGGTGCCGGACATGCCTCCTGAGTACTACTCCTGCCAGTTCAAAGCAAGCAAGCTGCGATGGTATGGCATTGTAGCCCTGGTGAGCCCGGCAGGACAGCCTCCTGTGGGACCAGCCCCTATGAGAACTCGGAAGGATGTGTGAGTGAGAGTGTGAATGAACAGGATGGACGATGTATGAGTGAACGGGACCGTGAATGAATTAACTGAACACCGTGCATTTTCTCAAATGCTGTCCCCACCTGGGATTTTCAGAGAACACCAGCTGAATCCCAGGTGGACAAGCCCGTGTTGGTAAGTCACCTGCATCAGTCAGGATAGGGTGGCTGTGCTGTAGAACAAACATGCCCCAGATTCTAGGAATAGGAGACTCATGAGGCCCAAGTCACAATCCATTTCTGAGGCTATAACAAACAAAGATGGGTACTCTATTGAGAAAAATTGGGTGTAAGGGGAATGGCTTAACAAGTCAAAATACTTGTCGTGCAAGCCTGACAATCTGAGTTCCATCCCTGGAACCCACCTGAAGAGCCAGATGTGATGGATGATGCACATCTGCAATCCCAGAATTCCTATACTGAGATGGAGGCTAAGACAGAAGTGCCCTGAAGCTCACAGACCGGTTAGCCTGGAGGACACAGGGCATCAGGAACTAGAGACAGCTTGCCTCAACAAGGTCCCTCGGTACTGAGGCCTCCACCCGTGCACTGTGGCATGTGCACACATGTCATACACATATGGGAACATACATGATGTGTAGTGATTATTGCCAGCCCACTCTTCCCTCCTGCTGGACAAAATTAACTGCTCTTTAAAAGAAGATGCTCATCCAGCTTGCACATCTGGCGGCTGAAGCGTCAGTATTGGTGGCTTCTGCTGGTCGGCCTCTGGCTAGACAACAGCAGCTGTGGCACAGCACAACAGAGACAGAAGGGCAGTCAGAGTTGCCTGGCTTCCTTCAATAACTGAGTCTCTCACAAGACCAGAATTAGTCTTTGCTCTGTTCCAATGTCCAGGCGAGCAGACACCGCCATCACACCTTCCCTGACGGGGGAGGGAGACAGCATGGAAGTCCTGTCACATTCATGACTGGACAGAGCAATTGTGTGACCACACGGAGCCTGCAGCCCTAGCCCCGCCATGGCTGCCTCCACTAATGAAGCACTCAGGACTTTTGTGACCCCTGACCCTCCTCCTGGGACTTTATTTAACTCTTGTTTACAAGCTTCAGAGCAGACATGCTAGAGGCTTCTTGGTGGGGCCTAACCTCCTGCTCAGGGCCTTGTCCTCTATACGAACTGTCTGCTTTTCCCCTGCCTTATGTGTGTGTTGTGTAGCATCTGTCGTGGTCTCCTGTCTGCGGAAAAGAAAAGGCAGAAACGAGAACTGAGTTTATCTGGCCTGGTGTATACTCCTCGGCCTCTGAGCAGGCTCTGTGTGCATATCCTCTTCTCCGCCATGTCTGCTTCTGTGGCTTTACTAACATATATGTGGCAAAAATCCCCATGCTCTCAAATCTCTAAACTGTACTCACCCCTGCAGGTTCCTTGGAAGTGACAACCAGGACACCTTCTTCACCAGTACCAAGAGGCACCAGATTGTAAGTGGGGTGTTCCTGCTGCAGCCCCCAATCTGACTAGGCCTGGCATATCCCAACCACGGACCCTGACATCCTCACGGCCACCATAAGCTCCCTGTAGCCAGAGGGCCGAAGCCTGAGAGACCGCCCCTGATCTTGCTGCACAGAGGGAAGATACGGCCAGCATGCAGGACGGTGGGGGTGGGGCATGTCCAGACTGCACTCAATCAGGTGAAGGCCAGCTCTCTGTCCAGTACCCTCCCCAATCTGAGGCCCAGGACAATACATGCTTATGGACCTCTGGGACGGGCAGGCAAGGCACCAGGCCCAGGTGAGGTGATCCTCTTGTCTGACCAGAAGAGACAAGCAAGAGGTCTCAGTATGCCCTAAGCTCATCTGTCAAAACCAGGCTACAGAGGCTGGTCTGAGGCACTAGGATAGTGTTTCTCAACCTATGGGTCTCGACCCCTTTGGGGGTCAAGTGCCACTTTCACAGGACTCATCTAAGACCATCAGAAAACACAGCTGTTTACATTGTAATTCATAACAATAAAAATTAGTTATGAAGCAACAATGAAAACAGCTTTATGGTTGGGGTCACCACAACGTGAGGGACTGTATGTATTAAAGGGCCAGGGCATTAGGAGGGCTGAGGACCACTGTGCTAGGAGGTGTGGTCCAACAGCTATGACCACCAAAGGCCACTGCTGCTATGGCCACCAAGGCAGAGGTCTCCCACCCCAGACAGGTATGCTAACCGAGCTGATCCTACTAGAACAAGGCTCCACGCAACCATGCATGACCAGGCCCAGGTTCGAACCCAGGCTGAACTCTAAGGAGTTTGAGACTAAAGCCTTCTGGGTTTGTAAGATGGGAGAATGATTGACTGTTATCCCTACCATGTGGCCACACAGGTGTGGTTGTGATATAGGACCTAGGTCTCAAGGCCTTGGGGACCCTCCATCAATATCTTTATCTGTCACTGGGGGCCATAAGAGGTTAACCAAGGTTTCAGCACCAGGATGGGTCTCCCTACTGTGCCGTCACATGGCCAGTGATAGGCACTCTCCTCCACCCACCCCACAGCTGTTTGAGATCCTGGCCAAGACTCAATATGGCCACGAGAAGAAATGCTTCTTTGGGATCGATCAGCTGCTGGCAGAAGGTGCCTTCAGCGCTGCCTTCCCCCTGCATGATGTGAGTTGAGCCAGGGTGGGCTGCGAGGTCCCCCACCTTACCCTGGGGTCGGGAATACCAAATGCATAGCCTTGTAATTGTGAAGTAACCAGTGCTGGAGGCTGAGGTTCAGCTTGGTCTCCTGTCCTTGCTGGGGGTCCCTGGCAAATATACCAGGTCCCCACTTTGGGTGCTAAGTCTGGGTTTCTCAGGCAGTGTCTCTCCCTAGGAAAGATAGGAAGGTCTCCAGCACCTTTTCTCTCTACCCTGAAGCTGGGCAATCTGGGGCAGGGGCAGGGAGACGACATTCACTGTAATAGCTGTCTGGTGCTCCCCAGATACCCATTCTATCATCGCTATGATGATAAAGTGGGTGTAGAAATGTCAGGCACACCCCCCTCACACACACACACACACACACACACACACACACACACACACACACACACGTCTTGCATGGGCATCACTCTTCACGTCAACTGAACTGGGTGCATGAGGAGTGGCTCATAGCCTGGGTGGCACACAGCATAGGTGCCAGGCCTGGCAGCACTATTGGTCGACCTGCACCCCGGTTACTGTCCTGACCCCAGCTCTTTCAGTGCCTTGGACATTCAGCAGTCCCGGGAGTCAAGGGAACACAATGCACATTTCTCTTCAGACACTTTTTGGCCCCTCCCCCAGTGTGATTGTGTTTTCTCCTTACACCATCCCCTGGGATCTATGCCACGTGCCGGCCCTGGAGGGTGGAATTGCGGGTCTGGGTCAGCACTGAGGTTCCTTCCCACTCCCAGAGGTGTCCTGTGGGAGGACTAGTGGGCAGAGGTGAAAACAACATGGAGAAGCCCAGCCCAACAGCCTCTTATTCCCAGGGCCCGATCTCTGCAGTACCAGAGAACTCCACCCAGCGCCAAGTCTTACTCCAGCACTGGGCTCGCTGGAGCAAGTGGTGCAAGTACCAGCCTCTGGACCACGTGCGGAGGTACTTCGGGGAGAAGGTGGCTCTCTACTTCGCCTGGCTTGGTGAGTCTTGTCTTTCTGCAAGGTCTTTGTGTCATGACAACCTCCCCTCTGGGATAATTCTGCTGCCAGACCTTATTCCCCTGATGATAAAACAGACGCCATGTAGATGGGTTTTTCTTTGGACTGCTGGCTCACAAATAATGACATGGAGACTAAATTATTATTAAATATGAAAGCTCTGCCTTAGCTTATGCTTGTTGTGCTAGCTCTTATAATTTAAGCTAACCCATTTATTTTAATCTGTGTTCTGTTGTGTGGCTTATTACCTTCTCTCTCTGTACTACCCATGTTGCTTCCCCTGCATTTGGCTGGAGACGCCGCCTTCTTTTTCCCAGAGTTCTCTCTGTGCACAAGTCCTGCCTATACCTCCTGCCTAGCTATTGGCCATTCAGCTTTTCATTACACCAATCACAGCAATACATTTTCTTTTTATAAAAATAATTTATTTAACTTTATTTTACATGCATTTGTATGAAGGTATCATATCAGATCCCCTGGAACAGGAGTTACAGACAGGTGTGAGCTGCCACGTGGGTGCTGGGAATCAAATCTTGGTCCTCTGGAAGAGCAGCCAGTGCTCTTAACCACTGAGCCATCTCTCCAGCCCCCAGCAATACATTTTCACACAGTGTACAAATATCCCACAACAACACTATACACTACACTGGGAGCCCTTTAGTTTGTGGGGTCATCTTGACCCCCCAGCTAGCACCCTCAGGAATGTCTACCCTGAGAGAAAAGACATCCCCGTGGGGAAGTCTACTCCAAGCCATTCTCTGCTGGTCTCAGTCAGGCTGGCACCTTTGAGCCATGCTGCCCTCTCTGGGATCTGTCTCTGATCCTCCTTCCCCATCCTGAGATTTGTCTTTCCAGTATGACTATGCTGGAGGACTTCTGGGGGGTGGGGGAAGGACTCTTCATCCAGGCTCCAGACAGAGACATTTTATAGGTGTCTTCCTGATCTCACAGGGTCAATAGGGACCAGGACACTTGACTGGGGTCTGGACTGACCCCACAGGAATCAGGCACATTTGATGGATGTGGAGTACATCAGGGGACCGGGGTGTGGTCCATTAAGATGGTACCCTAGTGGGGCATAGGGGTGAGGGTAGGTCTAGAATGACCCACACCTTCACTGGGGCTCAAACTGCAATGCATGCTGAGCCTCTCAGAAAGAAACCAGTAAACAGTTGGTTGGAAATGGGTATCAGGAGATAAAGTACCCAGTGGGATGGAGTCAGGGAGACACTGCTACTGAGTCAACAGGGTGAGAGAGTTGAGGACAGATGCTTAGAGTCAAGCTAAGGCCAGGGAAGACTCCGGGGTCTCTCAGTATCCTGCCTGAGGTTCTGGGTCCCATAAAGCAAATACATCCCTTGGGCACACCCAATTTCTAACCTCTGTACCCCTGGTATTTCCTCTGCAGGATTTTATACGGGTTGGCTCCTGCCTGCAGCTGTGGTAGGCACAGTGGTGTTCCTGGTGGGATGTTTCCTGGTGTTCTCAGACGTACCAACGTAAGTGTCCCTCTTACCTTGGCTCCCAACGTTTCCTGGGCCTCACTGGTTTGTGGGACTATGGGATTCCCAAGCACCAGGTCCTGTGTAGAGCTGTGTAGAGCTGGGGTGGAGGTATGCGCCAAGCACAGCCTGCTCTCCCAAAGACATGGCTAGCAGCAGACTGGACAGAGACAGCTCAGGTGGACAGAGGTGGACAGAGGTGCCCCGGGATAACAGATTGTCGGGGTGTCCCTAGGATGATGACAGGTTGTCAGGGGTGTCCCCAGGCTGGTACTAACACTTAGTCTTTTGTCCTTAGGATAATGTAAGGCTTTTCCTATAATAACTGGCTTTGTGTTTTATTTTATCGTGTAGCTGGACATCCAAATGTTACCTTTCATTATTATTGTTGCAAATTTTCAAAAACAACTGCTTTTTAAAGAAAGGATGGTGGGGTTGGAGATGTAGCTCAGTTGATAGAGTACCCGCCTGGCATACACGAGGCCATGGCTTTGGTCCCAGCCCTTCCGAAGCCAGACATGGTAGTGCACACCTGCAACCCAGTACTCAGGAGATGGAGACAGGGCCATCAGAAACTCAAGGAATCCTCAGCTACATAGCAAGTTCAAGACCAGCCTGGGATACGTGAGACCCTGTCTCAAAAAATAAAACAATAACCCAAAGTTCTAGGGCTGGAAGAGCAGGGACGGCATGAAGGGGAGGAGTGGGGCTGACTTGGGAGGGGGTGCAGCTCTTCGGTTCCTGGAACCACCTACACCCCACAGGCAGGAGCTGTGCCACAATTCCGATGGCTTTGACATGTGCCCGCTCTGCCCCGACTGTTCTTTTTGGCTGCTCTCCAGTGCCTGTGCTCTGGCCCAGGTATGGAACGAGAGATGGGGTGAGGGCGTTGGGGGCTCACAGTTCCCATAGGTCCTGGCTCTACCTGTGAAGTCAGAGCCCTTGGAGAGCTCTGTTAACTCTGCTCCCCTAACCTTAGTTACCTCTATGATACAAAGCCTCCTACTCCAGATGAGATGACATCAAGGGACACATCTGAGAGTCACGATCCAACCCACTACAGCTCCCAAGCCCCCTAATTCCTGTCTGCCTTGTGTGTGAAATGTATTCACCCCCTGGTCAAACTGTTGAGCTCTTGCCTGGGTTTGACCCCCTCCACATAAACAAAGGCGGTAGGTAGTATGCCCGAGATAGAGGCAAGAGGATCAGGAATTCAATGTCTTCCTCAGTGGCATGGTGAGTTTGAAGATATTCTTAATAAAAAAATAAATAGGGCTGGAGAGATGACTCAGTGGTTAAGAGCTTTGCCTGCTCTTCCAGAGGTCCTGAGTTCAATTCCCAGCAACCACATGGTGGCTCACAACCACCTGCAGTGAGATTTGGTGCCCTCTTCTGACCTGCAGGGATACATGCAGGCAGATTATTGTATACATAATAAATAAATAAAACTTAAAAAAAAAAAGAAATGCCTTTGCCGGGTGGTGAGGATACTGTATACATAACAAATAAATAAAACTTTTAAAAATAAATAAACCAAAATTCCCGAGACCGGGTAAAACTAGGTACTTGTGGCTCCTGAGCAGAATGCTTTTCCCTGTGGGTCTGGGGCATCGTGGTGTGCCTGTGTGGGAAGATGCTCCGTTAGAGAACGGGTGTGTGAGAGGACCACCCATCCCTGGGAAGACTCGGATGCCCCTCTCCCCTCCAGGCTGGGCGGCTCTTTGACCACGGTGGCACTGTTTTCTTCAGTCTGTTCATGGCGCTGTGGGCGGTGCTGTTTCTGGAGTACTGGAAGCGGAAAAATGCCACGCTGGCCTACCGCTGGGACTGCTCGGACTACGAGGACATTGAGGTGAGTGAGCTGGGCTGGGTGGCTTCTGGCGAGGAAAGGTCACACCCTACCGAGCACGGTTCCCTTCCAGGAGAGGCCTCGGCCCCAGTTCGCTGCAAGAGCTCCGATGACAGCCCTGAACCCCATCACTGGGGAAGATGAGCCCTACTTTCCTGAGAAGCGCCGTGTACACCGCATGCTGGCTGGCTCTGTGGTTCTCCTGATGATGGTGAGGGGACCCTGCCACCCCGCTTTTTCCTCTGCTTCTGTCTTCCTGAGCCACAGGGATCGTTCCACTCTGCCCTGGCCTGAGATCTCCTACAGACATAAGATTCTCACTGTCCTCCGGAAAGACTCTGTGCCTCAGGGAAGGGCCCAGGGCCAAGGAATGCGCTCTCCTAAGGGATATGTATGTACCACGAGGGGTCCTGGAAGGGCTTCACCATGTGTGGCACCCATTAAACGAGGGGACAGATCCCAAAAATGAGCATGGGGCACACTAATCAATTTGGTACCCTCTAGCCAAAGGCTGCTTTAAAGGACCCCAGCCCTCTCCAGGTATGGAACCCACTTTAGGGCTGTAAGGAGGTGGGTGAATGGGGCACAGTTCAACACTGGGTATAAGGACAACATACAGAAACTACTTGGTAACCTAACCTGACAGGGGACATGGCCAGGCTGCAGATGGGAGCCCCTGGAAAAGGAACCTGTGGGGCTGCTGTGGACCCAGAGGCCTGAGGATGTGGGTACCGGGTCCACAGCAGGGGGCTCAGGACTTTCCCGGCCTTGCAGGTGGCCGTGGTGATTATGTGCCTTGTGTCTATCATCCTGTACCGGGCCATCATGGCTGTCGTCGTGTCCAAGTCAGAAAATGCCTTCCTTTCCGCCTGGGTGAGTCTCCACTGCCTGTTCTGGGGGCTTCTGACCGTGCTCCTCTGCCTGTTCCCTGATCACCTGTTCCCTATCAGGCTCCACGAATCGCCAGCCTCACAGGGTCGGTGGTGAACCTTGTCTTCATCGTCATCCTCTCCAAGGTCTATGTGGTCCTGGCCCAGGTCCTAACAAGATGGGGTGAGTGCTGACCAAGGCAATACAAACATGGACCGACTACCATGCACCCATATCCCCAAAGAGGTGTCTGAGCCGTCTCCCAGGGAGCTCCTTACATGACACTGGCCGGGAGAGGAAGGTCAAGAGCACTCAGCCAGGGGCCTTGCTTCTACCATCCTCCCAGAACCCTCAAGCTCGTGGAGTTCTCAGAGTGAGACAAGAGCCGCTAGAACAAGGACTAGGACCTCCATCAGGTGGACTGTGGGGCTGTGACCAGCTCAAGCCACTCCAAATGGTTACCAAGTGTCTGCACATTCTCTTGTCTCTGTCCCTAGGAGCTAGATGCCTCTCCCCCTGCCTCTGTTTCTCCACTTCTACTTCTGTTTCCTGTCTTCAACCTTCCCTAAGAGAGAACACTAAGAGGCCTAACTACTCATCCCACAAGACCTTGACTAAACCTAAACCAAGGCCGCAAGGAGAGGGGACAAAGCAAACTCAGGGCACAGTGATCATGGTCGGAAAGGGAATACAGTATTATGGGATGTTCCCAGGTAGGTGCCAGGAGAGTGGTTTAGCAGTGTCCCAAGGAGAATGAGTAGGGGAATAGGAGCTGGTGTAGGTGTTCCCACAATTGTGGGACTTTGGGTCCCTTTTTTCCTCCAAATGACCTTTTACGTTTCCACACTGGTCTTGGCAAATTTTTGTTTTTCAAGACGGTTTCTCTGTAGCTTTGGAGCCTGTCCTAGAACTTACTTTATAGACCAGGCTGGTCTTGAACTTACAGAGATCTGCCTGCCTCTGCCTCCTGAGTGCTGAAATTAAAGGTGTGTGCCACTACTGCCTGGTGGTCTTGGCAATTTTTTTTTTTTTTTTTTGGTTTCTCGAGACAGAGTTTCTCTGTGGCTTTGGAGCCTGTCCTGGCACTAGCTCTGTAGACCAGGCTGGTCTCGAACTCACAGAGATCCGCCTGTCTCTGCCTCCCAAGTGCTGGGATTAAAGGCGTGTGCCACCATCGCCCGGCTCTTGGCAATTTTTTTGCAGTTATAATTCAGCCTTCAACCTTGACCAGAAACTACTTTGTCTTTGGACACTCCCCCCGACCCCAACCTTATCTATACACACTTTAAAAATGATTACATTTATTTATGCGTGTGTGTATGTGCTCATGTATCATGGCTTGTGTGTGCTATGGCACGCTGGTGAGGGTTAGTTCTCTCTGGGGAAGGAACTCGGCTCATCAGGTTTGGTGGCAAGCACCTTCGTTCACTGAGCCATCTCACTGGTCCTGTACACGCTATTTTGATGAAGGTGCAAATGTTTGGTTTTAGTGTTCTAGAGTTTTTTTGATCAGCTATTTCAGGTATTCCTAATTGTATTAGTTATCTTTTTTTGCCACTGTGACCAAAATACCAGACAGAATGAATTAAGGGAGGGATTCCGTATTCCTGATCACAGTTTCAGAGGTGACAGTCCCTCAGAGCAGGGAGGGTGTGATTCCCACAAAGCAAGGAGGGGAATACAGGACAGGATCAGGTGGCATACAGATCCAAGGACACCTTTTTCCATGCAGGCTCCAACTTCCACCAACTCCCAATAATATTATCAGCATATTATTAATCCATGTGATTAATAATATTGATCCACTGATAAGGTCAGAGTCCTCATGAGCTAATACTCTCTGGAAACAACCTCACAGACAGACCAACAGGCGTGCTTTAATAATCTAATTTAACCAGCAGACAATTAAGATTTACCACCGCTTTAATCAACATGTCTTAGGAAAATTTAGACATTAGAAATGTAGGACTGCTGTATGTTAACCCCTCCTTTAATAAATTTAACATATCTGGACAACATGGCTTCTTCCTCACCCTGGATGGTGGTGTGGTCTCACGGGAAGGGGCCAATATACCTGGGGAACTGAATGCAAGCCCCATCTGCAGAGATGCACCGGACGCAGACCGCATTCGAGGACGCCTTCACCCTCAAGGTGTTCATCTTCCAGTTTGTCAACTTCTACGCCTCGCCGGTGTACATCGCCTTCTTCAAGGGCAGGTAGGGGTCACCCTCCTGACTTGTCGCCTCTCCCCCGGCTCAGCTTTGCCCCACTCTGTCTGGTGTGCTCAGGAGGGGGGGGTGAGTGAGGGGGGTGGTTTGGGACAAGTCTGTGCTTCTCCCAGGCCAGGCCAGGCCTCAGGGTGGGAGAGAGGTGACACTCAGAATCTAGTCCCTCACAGCCTCACAACTTGCCCCTGCTAGGTTTGTGGGATACCCAGGCAATTACCACACCTTGTTTGGAGTCCGAAATGAAGAGGTGAGTGCTGAGGAATGGGGGCTAGGCACCCTCTGTACCCACCGAGGCCTTCACTTGATGCCAGTTCTCGTGCCTACCTTCCATCACTGTCCAAGCCAGTGGCCAGACTTACAGCTGCTTCCCAGGACCCCACGACTCTTTGCCACATCAGCCCCAGGTCCTGATCGGCAACCACGGTCTAGAGAATGCTCACCTCATGGGTCTTAGGCCCTTCTCTGCTTCAACCTAACACACACCCTAGAGGCATCCAAGCCCCCCATGAGTCATAGCACTGCTGAGGCCAGTACCCCACAGCCTCACTAGCTGGGGTTCTCCCAGGGCTGCCTTCCTCCACTAGCCCTGGTATGCTCTGCTTGTCTTTGGGACCTGGGAACTCTGGGAATCAGGAGAGCCCGGCTTCTCAGATGTGTGGTGGCCTCTGCAGAGGATCGCAGGTGGGTTCCTCTGGAGGTGACAGAGCCACAAGACACCAAAGCATAAATACCAAGAAGGAGTAAGAAATGAACCCTATGTTGCCCAGACTCCCCAAAAAATTGTCTGTACACTTCCGGCCTTGTTAGCTGAGGGCAGAGCAGGATTAACCAGAGGTACCGGCAGGGTGGTGGGTACGTCTGGAGCTGCCCACTGGTGACTATGGAACTGGAGATGGGGGCATGGGGTTCCGCCGCCCTTACTGAGCACCGGATCTGAAAGACCCTTCTCTTTTTAGAGGAGGGAGAACAGAAATCTTCCCAGGGCCTGGGCCATTATCTCCTCTTACTTCAAGGCGGCTCACCTCCTTGAGGGGTGCTGTCCACCTTTGCATTAAGGGTAGGGAATTGTGTGGGGAGAGGCAGAGCAACCAGGCCCCTACTTCGGGAGCATGACTGTGGCTGCTGTGCAGTGTGAGGTACCTCCCAACTCTTGGCGAGATGCCTAATTCAGACTGGCGTCGGCGGGGAAAGGGCTACCACATGGTCTTGCATTGAAATTATTCAAGACTCTGCGGCTCAAGAATGGCTGGACCCAGGTGCTGCCCCCAGCACTGACTGGGTTCTTCAGGATTTCCCACCTGGAGAGGATGACACCCCAGTGTGACTGAGGCTCCCGGGCATGGCATGCATTCCTAGAAGCTCCTGGGGTCTGATTGTTTACTGACCACATCTTGGGTCTTCCCTGGAGCTGTGGCTGCAGTTGGCTGAGGAGCTATGGGGCACTAACTACAGCTGCCCAGCGGTTGCTCCCATCCATAACTGAAGTGGGGTGGGAAGGGCTGATCTCTGCAGTTCTCAAGGCGCTCCAGGCATGTTCTATGGGAGGTGGGGGTACAGAAGCCACCTTTGAGGCAAAAAGGAAGCTGGTTGAGTGTGTGAGCCTGGTCCTGTCCCCAGCTCACCTGAGGTTGTGCTGTTGCAGTGTGCTGCTGGAGGGTGCCTCATTGAGTTGGCACAGGAGCTCCTGGTCATCATGGTGGGCAAGCAGGTCATCAACAATGTGCAGGAGGTCCTTGTCCCGTAAGTCACCTTCACCTTGTCCTGCAGTTTCTCGGGTGCTAGGAGACTAAAGGGGGAGGCAGGACCTGTCATCCCAGGACCTCCATGTCACAGTGTGAGCTTCATGACAGCCTCTCCCATCTGTTGTTCTGACTGGGGTGTTGGGGAGCTCTGTCAGGGGAGTGCTCAGCGGGAGGCCACACAGGCCAGCACACACTTCCTACCTCCAGCAACCAGCAGGAGAAGGATAAGCAAGGGGAAGCTAGAGCCTCAGGCCTGACTCCTAGACTCATATGCCTGTTTCAGGTTCCCTTGTTAGGGACCAGTTCCCCATCCCAGTCCCACTAGCTGGAACTGTGGCCTCCCTCACAGGCTGGAGTCCTCCAAAGTGTCTGCCCAGGGACAGTTTCCTACCCGAGGCCACACCAACCCAGATGCCCACTACCACCTGCAAAAGGCAGGGTTCGCCCTGACGCTTCAACCATGGCAGTCAGTCCCTGGAAGTATCCTGACTTACTTCTCCGGTATTCAGTGGGAGGAGGAAGTCCAGGGTCATGCTCCGTGTCTGGCAGGTGCAGGTCGTGTGAGGAAGCCAATACTTACAATCTGATAATTGTATAAGGATACAATTGCATCAGTAGCGCCCCCATACAATCTGATAAGCAACCTATGTGTTCCATGCATGACACCTCACAATCTCTGACAAAGCCACATCCTCACAGGACTGATACTTGCCTCCGAGGTGTGATGATGCCAGTATGTGGCCCCAGTATGACGAAGCCAACATACCTAAGTCCCCATGGCCTCTGCTTCCCTGGGACTCAGCTGTTACCCTCAGTAGCTCCTTCCTAGCCCTGCTATGGCTCCACCCTCCAAAGGTTCCAGGGAGCTGGGGGGGGGGGTTCCTTTCTTGACAAATTACATCACGGGGTCAGGGGCCTTGGAGGAGTCTGATTCGCAAGAACTTCAGACCAAACCGCTGTCCCGCCCAGCCTCGCCTGAGAACAACAGCCCATCCAGGGTGTGTGTCCTCTCTGACTAGCTCAGCCATCAGCTGCACGGGAACAGCCAGGCCATTTTCTGCTTCCTACCTGCAGAAAGCTGAGGGGCTGCTGGCAGAAGTGGTACTCCAGGAAAAGGAAGGCTGGCACGGGGACCCACCCAGCACCTTGGGAGGCTGACTACCAGCTGCTGCCTTGTGAGGGGCTGTTCCACGAGTACCTGGAAATGGGTAAGACCCACAACACAGCTTTGCTGCCCCTGGCCTACCCTGAAATGCAATGTGTCATTGGGAGGTGGGGGCACACAAGGGGCCCTGGGAGTCAGGTCTCTAGATACCTGGAGAAGAGCTGCGTGGGCAACAGAGCTGGGGTGGGGGGTGGGGGGAGTTTGGGGGATGCCTGGGAGCTGAGGCTGTGTATTAGGGAAAGCAGGTCCTGGGGCAGAGCCAAGATTCTCCAGCAGGGAAGATAGGTACACCCGGGGCCATGCCAGCCTAGAGGACTAATTTCCTCCAGCTGTTTCCTCAGGTGTTAACTGTCAAGTGGTGGCCCATACCCACAGCTTGAGGGGTGTGATGGTTTTGAGGGCGGGGTTTTGCCTGACTAATACAAGGGAGATCTGGCATAGTCATAACTTAGTGAGCACAGTGTCTCAGCAGAACACATGACTGAGTTGCCTGGCAACCAAAGCATAAGCAGTAACAGTTGCAGGCCTTTTTTTTTTTTTTTTTTTTTTTTTTTTTATCAGTTGCAGGCTCTTTCTGTAGATAAAATCAGGGTGAGTTAGGGGGAGCAGGCTGATATTATGTATCCTCACACCCTCCACAATGGCATCTGAAGACCTCTCTAGCAATTTTATAGAAGACCCATGCTGCCCTTGGAGAAAAAAGGGAGGACAATCCTAAAGCCAGAGGCAGGTTTTGCTCTCCTTCCTGCCATTAGGAGTCCCTGACTTCAGGTGTACTGGATGGCCGAGGCTGTCCAGGAGCACCAATATCAGAGCAGTGCGGATCAGGGCTCCCAGGGACCAGTCAGAAAGGTGGGCAGTGGTCCTTGCTCTGAATACAACAGGAGCGGAGGAAAATAGGGTGAAATCAACTGCTTGGTGCTTTGGTGGGCAAGCTGGGCATCCCTACCCCATTCCCGCCTGGGGTGGTCTGAGAGGTTTTCCAGCTCTAGCCCGCGGCTACTCCGGTCCCGCAGTGCTGCAGTTCGGATTCGTCACCATCTTTGTGGCCGCCTGCCCGCTGGCGCCGCTTTTTGCCCTGCTCAACAACTGGGTGGAGATCCGCCTGGACGCGCGCAAGTTCGTGTGCGAGTACCGGCGCCCCGTGGCCGAACGCGCCCAGGACATTGGCATCTGGTTCCACATCCTAGCCGGCCTCACACACCTCGCCGTCATCAGCAACGTGAGCGTCCGGGCCGCCTGCAGAGTGGTGCGGTGGCGGTGGCGGTGGCGGGAGGGTGGGGCTGGTGCTGCTGACCCCGTGCTGACCCCCTCCTCGCAGGCCTTTCTGCTGGCCTTCTCCTCGGACTTCCTGCCGCGTGCTTACTACCGCTGGACGCGCGCCCCCGACCTGCGCGGATTCCTCAACTTTACGCTGGCGCGCGCACCGTCCGCCTTCGCAGCTGCACACAACCGCACTTGCAGGTGAGCGGGCAGCGGGAAAGTGCAGGATTCGCTTTCTAGGTTGTTGATTCATCCTCCCCCGATGTCCCCACTTATCCCTAAGATGTAGTGCTCTTTTGTTTGTTTCTTGGATTGGTCTCTCATGTATCTAAGGATGGCCTCAAACTCTTAAAAATTAAGATTTTATTATTTATTTATTTATTTATTTATTTATTTATTTTTTCGAGACAGGGCTTCTCTATGTAGTTTTTTTTTGTTGTTGTTGTTTTGTTTTGTTTTAAAGCCTGACCTAGAACTCGTGCTCTGTAAATCAGGTTGGCCCCAAACTCACAGAGACCTGCCTGTCTCTGTCTTCCAAGTGCTGGGATTAAATTTGCGTTCCACCACTGCTTGCCTGGCAAAAACAAAACAAAAACAAAACCCTTCTCCACCTGGTTCCTCCCTAGAACTTCCTGTCAGCTACTTGCTGGCTCAGTCTCCTGGCTGCAGGGGAATTTTATTTAATCAAACACATTTTTACAATACCCTTTTTATTCCTTTAAAACTCTGGTGAAATAGGTTTCCATATGACATCCCATTAAAAAAAATAATGTAAACCAACCTGCGGGTTAGTCACACAGTACAGACTTCAAGAATGCTTATAGATGCGTAGAATATTTACAAATGCTATTCTTTAGGTAGTAAAGGTTAATCAAACACATTTTTGTATCATTAAATAAATGTTTCAGAGCATATGCAAAAGTAACATACCTTAAAATACTATTCTATGACACTATCAGATTTAATGGTGTATCTTCCTGACTCTGTTGGTTGTTGTGTTGTACAAGCTGGTTCTCTTGTCCCATGTGGGACCTGGGAATGAAATTATGGTCATGACAGCTTGATGGCAGGTAACGTCCTACTGAGCCAGCTCGCTGGCCCTGCAGCTGCTTCTTAGGTATAGGTAGATGTCTTCCCTCTGAGCATCTTTCTCTTCTTACTGAAGCACATTGTATTTTGTTTATTTCTTTTTATTTATTTATTTATTATTTTTTATTTTTATTTTTTTAATTTATTAAAGATTTCTGTCTCTTCCCCACCTCCGCCTCCCCTTTCCCTCCCCCTCCCCCAATCAAGTCCCCCCCCTCGTCAACCCAAAGAGCAATCAGGGTTCTCTGCCCTGTGGGAAGTCCAAGGGCCACCCTCCTCTATCCAGGTCTCATAAGGTGAGCATCCAGACTGCCTAGGCTCCCACAAATCCAATACGTGCAGTAGGCTCAAAAACCCATTGCCCATGTTCTTGAGGTCTCAGTAGTCCTCATTGTCCACTATGTTCAGTGAGACCTGTTTTACCCCAGGCTTTTTCAGACCCAGGCCAGCTGGCCTTGGTGAAAACACTATCCTGAGTGAGGTAAGCCAGACCCAAAAAGAGGAACATGGGATGTACTCACTCATATTTGGTTTCTAGCCATAAATAAAGGACATTGAGCCTATAATTCGGGTTCTTAGAGAAGCTAAATAAGAAGGAGAACCCAAAGAAAAACATATAGGCTTCCTCCTGAATATTAACCTTCATCAGGTTATGAAAGGAGACAGAGACAGAGACCCACATTGGAGCACTGGACTGAAATCTCAAGGTCCAAATCAGGAGCAGAAGGAGAGTGAGCACGAGCAAGGAACTCAGGACCGCGAGGGGTGCACCCACACACTGAGACAATGGGGATGTTGTTTATTTATTTAAAGATTTATTTATTTATTTTCCGTATATGAGTGTTTTATCCCAGGAGAGGGCATCAAATCCCACTAGAGATGGTTGTGAGCCACCAGGTGGTTGCTGGGAATTGAACTCAGGACCTCTGGAAGAGCAGTCAGTGCTCTTAACTGTTGAACCATCTTCCCAGCCCCCTTGAAGTACATCTTTTAAGTAGTTTCTTCAGGAAGGATGTGTGATGGGTAGGTAGGCAGGTTCAGGTTTTTGTTGTTATTTGAGACAGAGTTTTGGTATTTAGCTCCTGATTGCCCTGGAATTCACTCTGCAGACCATGCTAGCTTCAAACTTGCAGTGATCCTCCAGCCTCAGCTTCACGAGTGCTGGGATTACAGGCATGTGCTACCATGACTGATCAGTTCTTCATGGTTTTTAAATTTTTTTTTTTTGAGCTGAGGATAACCCAGAGTCTTGCACTTGCTAGGCAAGCACTCTACCACTGAGCAAGATCCCCAATCTCAAAATATACTTTTATGTGTGTGTTTTGCTGTGTACAACATGAGTACATTGCCCACAGAGAAAGATCAGAACAGGGCATCGGGTTGGGCATAGTGGCAAATGCCTTAATTCCAGCACTTTGGAGGGAGAGGCTGATGGATCCTGTGAGTTTGAGGCCAGTTTGTTCTACAGTGTGAGTTCCAGGACAGCCAGAGCTATACTACACAGTGAAACACTGTCTCGAAAAAACACTCTGCCCCCCCCCCCCCCCCCAAAAAAAAAAGCCGTGTGGGAAGGGAATAGAGCAGCTGCTGACTTGTCGAGATTACATCTTCTGGGTGTAAGTAGATAGATATCCTTTGTAGACGCCTCATTGGGCTGTTACATCTATTAAAGACATTTGCAGCTTAGCTTTCCTGCCCACCCATTCAGAACCTCACCAGCTGAAGATACTATCTGAGTCCCTGTTTGGGGGTAATTCCTGTTACAAGGACCATTGATAGAAAGCTGCTCTGTGGGCAGCACCAAGGAGGCAGAGAAGGGGAAATGGGAAGGCTGATTCTAGACGGACCATTTGCCAGCTGGAGCTCAACCCAAGAGTGCTACCCTGAGTCTTGTGTCTCCTGCAGGTACCGGGCTTTCAGGGACGATGATGGACACTATTCCCAGACGTACTGGACTCTCCTGGCCATCCGCCTGGCCTTTGTCATCGTGTTTGAGGTATCCAAGATATCTGAAAGTTCTTTCAATGACTCCCATCTTGCTGGCCCCTTACTCGTTTTGTCTAACCTAAGCCTGTGGCATGGGAAAAAAAATCAGTAAGGCCTAAAGAACCCCCATTCTGTTTTCCCAGCCCGTCAAAATTCTATGCATCTTGTTTTCCCTTGCTGGCCTCTGTCCCTGGCTCATACTTTGAGGACTGCAAGGTGCCATGGGGAACTCTGAGGGGCTGTACACTCTGTGGTCCAGGCCTCTGTTGGTCCAGCAGTTCCACTCACCTAGGGAGCCTGCCTGGTCTCCTGAAGGCTAGTCTGGGCTTTTGTTTTACCAAGGTTGGGGTGGGGCTTCTCCCGCCAGCACGTGGTGTTCTCCATTGGCCGACTTCTGGATCTCCTGGTTCCTGACATCCCAGAGTCTGTGGAGATCAAGGTGAAGAGGGAATACTACTTAGCTAAGCAGGCCCTGGCTGAGAATGAGGTGAGCACCCGAGCCCTGTCCCTCATGCTCTCTCTGGCTACTTGACCAACCATGGGCCTTGGTTTCCGCCTACTCAGTCCTGGCAGCACAGCTACAGAGTGGGTGAAGGACTGAGGGCTTTATTGTCACGTCTGTTCTGTAGTCCACCTGACAACTCACTTTCTTCAAGACAGGCTCTCCTTGGAGCAAGCGGAGTGAAGGATGACCGGCTTCCAAGCTCAGAGTCTGGGCCTTCCAGCCTAGGGTCTTAGAACTGGTAACCTCTCCTCCATCTCTGAAGTCACAGTAGGGGTTACTGGAGGCTGACGCACTTGCCTGGAAGCCTGCTGAAGATGCACTAGGAGCCAGTTCACTGTGCATGTGCTGCTTGTATTGGTTAATGAATAAAGAAACCGCCTTGGCCTGATAGGGCAGAATTTAGGTAGGCAGAGAGGACTGGACTGAATGCTGGGAGGAAGAAGGGCAGGTAGCCAGTTGTCTCTGTCATTTGTTGCACGTGCTCCTGGCTCTGACTCAACTTATCTCCTATGCTTGGTTTAGAATAACCATGGCCCTTGGCTGCCACAGTCTTTGGCTCACACATACTGCTTGGTTACCACCTCTACTAGATATTCCTAAGGGCACCAAAAGGAGACATCTGTTGGCCTTTAGGAAGCTATCCCCTACTGCCATTCCCAAGTCCCATGAGCCAATGATCTCAAGGCAAAAGGGCTACCTGAAGGGGCTTCTGTAGCTCTCATATTTATAGTGCTGGCCATTGTACTCAGAGCACCTGTCCTTCCCTCAGCCATGACTTTCTCTTGTCCCCAATAGGGAGGATCCCTGTTTCCTGTCCCTAAACCAAAGACTAAGGGTCCTCTGTATGCAGTCCTGAATCTTAGTGACCAGGAGGTGGCTTTACTGTTGACATAACCTTCCCTCCCCCACCCCCATCCATGGGCATAACTTCTGTCATTGTCAACTGAGCAGGTTAGACTCTGGGGTCCCTGCCATTCCTTGTGATAGTGTAGGGTCAGGTCACCCCTCCAGACCCACCCTCTGCCTTTTCCTCACATGGCCAGTACACATCTGCACATCTGGCTCTCAGACCTGAAACATCCCAGGCCACAGCTTGCACCTGCTCTTCCTTTCATACCCGATTACCTAAGGCCTCTGGGTTCTCTCTTGTCTTGGCCTCTTTATCCTGACAGATCAAGGACTCTGCAGTATCTATCCCCTTTGTCTCCTGTGCTTTCCAGTGCTGGGTCAGGGATTCAGTACACAGCAAGCACAGAACGGGGAAGGCTGTGGAATGAAGCCTTACCCCTTATAGTGGAAGCAGGAAGGACAAAACACAGAAAACAGATTTCTGTGATACCTAGTGGGTCTTTCCTATTTTCTCTCCTTTTTGTTACTTTTCAGACTGGGTACAATTTGGGCTGTTTCCTCCTGTTAGCTGGGTTAACTGATGGTTAATTGCCAGTTATTTCCTAACTTAGCTGCCCACTCATGATGGGACCCGGGCCTTTCAGTCACACCTGTGCATATTTCTGTAGGGTTCTCGGCTGCGACAAGAGGGATGTACAGTCTTGGAATGGACTGTGAAACACACACACTTGCTTCAAAACTTCCCCCAACCACTCACTCACCCACCCATTGTTAACTTTGGCAACTTCTGGCCTCAGACATGGCTCTGTGCTCACTCTGCCATTTGCCATGGGTCGCAGCTGCCCACTGAACCTTGCATGGCTACTGGACAAACTAGCCAGTTCAATGAATGCATCTACTAGGTAGCCTTACAACACCAACTACATTTACTTGCTTCAAGCTGTTTGTTCTGCTGTTGTAATTTTTAAAATCTCTTATTGTGGGTAAATATGGGGATGTATGCCACAGCTCACATGTAGGCATCAGGAAACGACTTTGTGGGGCCAGTTCTTCCACTGCGGGTTCCAGAGAATGCCAGGCTTGGGCAGTGTAGTGGTTCGAATGAGAAACGTCCCTGGTTGGCTTTGGCAGCTGAATACTCCATCCCCATTTGGTGATGCTATTTGGGGATGTTTAGGTGTTGCAGCCTTGCTGGAGGAAATTTTATGGAAGAGTAGGCTTTGAGAGAAAGTGTGCCGTTCCAGTTGGTGCTCTTCATGTTTATGGGTAGAGGTGTGAGCTTTCATCCTCCTGCTGTTATGCTGTCTCCAGTATTGTGGACTTTTAAACCTCCTGGAGGCATAAGCCAAAGTAAAGTTTCTTCTGAAGGTTGTCTTGTTTCTTCAGTGACAGACCAGTCACTAAGACATGCACCTGCTCAGCCATCATACTGGTGCCATCTTTAAAATATTAAAGTAAACTTGACCAAACAGAAGGAATTTCACTGAAACCAATGCAAGGTGGCCCACACTTATACATGCCCCTCACCCCATCCAAACAACTACACCAGGAATGAGTCATGGATTCCCAGTGACTTCCTCTGCACACCAGGGAGAGCCTTATATAGGAGGTGTTTATTGGCTGTTGGGACCTGAAGGTAGACCGGTTGTGGGGTCCTGTTTTTATTTGGAACCATTTTACTCAAGATGCACGTCTTGGGTTGGAGATGCTGGGTTATCAGTCTTCTCAGCAAGAGGTGCTATGCTAGTTCCCTGCTCTTTAATGGGATCTTCTCTCTCAAGGGAACTGGAGTAGCCTGTCCTACCCTTGCTGTCTCCACCCCCTTCCTTCTCAGCCGCTACAGCCTCCTGGCAGGACCCTGCCTCCAGGTCAACCTCAGCCTGGTGTTAGGAAAGCCTGTCAGGAAATGGCAACAGAAAACCTGGGGATGTTGCGGGTTTTGCAAAGATCAAGCTGCTCTCCAAGCAGTGCTCAGGGGAAGCCACTGACTGGGATGGGTTAAAGTGCAGGAACAGGTAAGAGTTCCCCGGGGAAATCCCACTGAATAGGACAGAATTGCCAGAGAATCTAAAATGGATCAAGGAATTACCACTTAGTCACAAGGAGAGAATATATATTTGATAAAACGAGTCTCATCACACTGCATCTGGTTTTGGGTTTTATTTTAGAATTTATAAAATTCCAGTGTCATCCATTTTCATGAGCCTTTACACATGTTTGCATATAATTTCCAAATTCCAAAGTTAAGGCCAAGGGATGGATGTAGCTATGGAAACAGGACATGGAAGACATTCAACAAGAGGAAAGGACACTCCCCACCCCTGCCTAGGCCCCTCAGCAGCGTGGAGGCTACAGAGAGGTGACCCAGGCACAGTCAATTTCATAGTCCTTATTAACAATCAATCAGAAAAGGAGTGAGACTCTCAACGGTGTAGGGTAGGGCTTACGTCTACAGCACTTAGCAATAAATGGACATGTGCAAAATCCTGTGGTGATCATCTCAACTTTACTTTCTGGGGAAGGAGGAGACTGGATGTTGTAGGATGACTGTGAAGATGATGAGGGGGCTGGAAGGGCAGGAGGGAAGCAAGGTGTCCCCAGCCTCATGCAGATGGGAGAAGAGACAGCTCTCAGGAAAGGCAGGGACGCCCTCTCCCTGTCTCCCCCGCCTGGCCCAAGCTGCCGGCCTACCCAGCAAAGCAGACGTTCTTTCCCATCTCACTATCATTCCTATAATGGGGTACATGTGGGGCTGCTTCATCTACAGGGAACTGAAGTTAGACTTGGAGAAGCAATTCTGGATCCACTTAGGAGTTAAGAGTCTACAGGTAGCCAAGCCTGAGTTAGTAAGTGGAGAGTGAAAGACTTGGGAAAAGGTGTCACAGTAGCAGTGACAGTTTAGTTCCCAGGAAGGCCATGAGATGGGCACAGGTTGGCTTTTCTAGGAACCCAAGGATCTGGGATAGGACATGTTGCTAGTTGATCAGATGACCTGGAGATAAAAGACCTGTCCTCAGTCTCCATAACACAAAGGGGACACTTCTACTGGGGACCACTTTTCCTGGTCAGGGCTGGGGCCAGTAGTCCAAGTTACCTCTTGCACCTGAGAAAAGGCCTCCCTCAGCTAGCAGCACTCCCTGCACTGGGTCCTTTGTTTTCATTCTGCCTTCCCTTTTAACCCATGCTAAATGACAGCCTCTATTGATGACTTTGCCCTCAAACCTGTCCCTCAGGACTGCATAAAGCATCCAAGTATGCTTGCTAGAGCCTACATGTCAGGCTGGCTGGGAATGAGCACCCTGCTCAGCACCAGCCCCTAAATCATGTGGGTTGAAGGAAAGCACTAGCTTTACCCTTCACTCAATGGCAAGCCCAGAATCACCAGAATGTCTAAATCAAGAGAAGAGCCTTGGAGGTGGCACTAGCCCACGTGAGAGTACTACCACACTGGCTGAGGTAGAAAGAAGGCAACTGAACACGAGGTGTCTAGGTGAGGCAAAGAGGCCAAAGGTTGTAGGAAAAGTTGAGCTGTCACTGGGTCAACCCCCCCCCCCCCCCACCAAAGAGAAGCCAGTCTCTACCTCCCCTTGCCTCCAAAGTCTCAAGCTGTCCCAGTCCACTGTGACAGCCACAGGGAACCCAGGTGACATACACACAGCCGTGCCTCTAGGGTATATACTCCAGCGCATGAGGCTGAAGCTGCAGCAGAAGCCGCTGATGCTTTCGGAACCCAACATGGGTATCATCAGTTCTATCTGAGGACCCAGGCCACCCTCTACCTCTACCCACTCGATCACCAGGACATCTGACCTCTTGCTGCCCCAAACCATGCCTTCCTCCTCTCCTGTAGCCTGTGCTAAGCAGATTTTTGACAGCTAAAGGTAGCTGACTGCTTTCCACAAGACGAAGGCCTGGGTGACAGGTGGCGGGCAGGAGGGAGGTGGGAAAAGGAAGAGGGCAAACGTTTTGGCTTTTATAAAGTCAAGGAAATTTATTTCCTGAGGTCATGACACAGGAAGTCAGCTCCTAGCCGCTGGAGCTCTGGTGTGAAGGTCAGAGTGCTGACTACATGCTGGGTGGACCAGGAAGCTGGAGTCTGTGATCACGAAATGCTCGATTACCTTGCTTAGTGTTTCACACAGTGGCGTGCCTGTCCCAGAGCACAGCATCAGGAGTAGACCCTGAGCCTGCTGGGTGCTGACCAGGCCTGGAGAAGCAGCCACTCAAGGCCAGCCCACCAGGCTTTGCTGCGAGACCTCGGGGAGGGGGAAGAGCATCAACAATTTACGAGGGTCCAGCTGCTGGGTCAGATTGAGACGAACCATCATGTGGCTGGGTTTGGGCAGCAGGCTGGAAAGGTTTCTTTTTGATCATTATCGTTTGGGGCCCCAAGGGAGGGTCTTGGGAGCCACCTGAGCCCCAAAACTGGGAAATTCTTCAGAGCTGCTCATATCAGGAGCCTGTGGGGAGGGAGGACACAGCTTTAGTGCCAGGTGGCTCTCATTGACTTATATAGTTTGCAGAGTAACTCCACCCATATCCCACTATCCCAGCAGCTTAGCCCCTGTCCTGGGGAACAGGAATACAGAAGTGCTACCTGACCTTCTCACTGCTGTTGGAGGTCCAGGGAGCATCTCGCACCACAAAGCCTTTGGATGGTGCCTTGGATTCTTCATGTGCTGGGGGCTTCATGTAAACCTGCAGCGCCTCACTGTCCACCACATCAGCCAGCTGCATGGCAGAGAATGTGGTGTTGGTCAGCTACAGACAGCCAGCTGACCATTTTGCTAGATACCACAGGGCCACCCACCTACCCACTTGCCCCTGCCCATGCTTGGTTGTCACAGGATTATAGCCAGGCCTCCAACAAATCAAGGGACAGGATGCTTCAGAGCCCAGCCTGGGCTGAGGGCCCCCTAGATCCTGCTTGCACAGGACTCACATATTCCTCCTCTAGGTTGAGGATGTGGTCGATAGCTTCCTCCACATTCTCCGGGAGTCCTGTCACAGTGACGCAATTGGGGTCTGGAGCTCCACTCTGGGGGAAGCGAATGTCCACCTGGAAGAAGCAAATGTCAAAGGGCATTAAAGGGAAGACTCTAGACCAAAGTTCACCATCATACTTCTATTCTTAGTCAGTGAATTCAGGAAAATTTTAGGAAGTCGGGTTTTAGGATTCTTCACTTGAGGCAGTCACATGCATCATCCTGCCAGACCGTCTGGTTTCCTGAGGACAAAAGGCACTGAGTGTGTGCCTGATAGTCCCACCTAGCAGAAGAGCATGGCAGATAGCCTGATGACTCTGCCCTTCTGTGAGCCCTCATTATTGTACCTACCAATGACGTCAGAGTACAATACTGTCCTGCAGCTTGCAGGGGCTCTGATCCTAACACCTTAGAACCGAAAACCCGTTCCCTCCTAGCTCCGTGTGGTCAGTAGTACAGGTAGGACTATGCAGGTTGCCAGTGCCCTGGGAAGGATGGGCATTCTCAATCTTGTGCTTCAGTTGGCTTTGTCTGGACTCACCTTGAACTCATCCATGATTTTCCGGATGGCTTTGCCTCGGGCACCAATGATGCGGGCATGCACACGGTGGTCCAACGGGACATCCTCAGAAACCATCTGCTCAAGCTCACCCACAATTTTCAAGATAGCGTCACGGGCAGCTTCGGTGTTCTTCTCATACCCTGTGATGGTGATTTGATCCTGAGGCTTAAAAAGGAGAATTCAGTCAGAGAGGAGAGTGACTCTTCTGGGACGCCCAGGATCAGCAGTGTGCTGCGAGTAGGCTGTCCTGAGGAAATGACATACGGCAAGTGTGTGGATGGCAGTTCTTCATCAGACCACATCTTAGGGGAGATAGTCATTCTCTCAGAATAAGGACGAAACACATCAGGTGGCTGATGTAAACCACAGGTTAAGGGCTGGAAGGATGACTCTGCAATTAAGATGCTTGCCATACTTGCAGAGGACCACAGTTCTTAGCCAATTCCCAGCACCCATGTCAGGCAGCGCATAAGTGCTTGTGACTCTAGCTCCAGGAGGTCTGATGCCCTCTTCTGGCTTCTGTGGATACCTGTACTCATGAGCCCATACACAAATACACATAATTAAAGCTAAAAATTAAAACTTGGGGCTGGAGCTATGGCTCACTGCTTTCATAGATGGCCTGGGTTTGGTAACCAGCTCCCACAGAGCTACAAACATCACCCACAGCTCCACATCTCTTCTGGTCTCCTTGGGTACTACATACTGGCGAAACATTCATACACTCAAAAACAACCACCCAGAGTTAACATCCATTAAGCACTTATTCCTTCCCAAACCCCCGTAAGGGACAGAAAGGAGGGCTAGTGAGAGGGCTCAGTGGATAAAGGTGCTTGCTACCAAATCTGACAACCTGAGTCTGATCCCCCGAACGAAGATGGTGGAAGGAAAAAAACCACTCCCTTAAGCTGTTCTCTGATCTCCATGTGTGTGCTGTGGGGGTGGGGTGGACACATTTGTATGCACATGTACATACACACATGTACATGTGGGAAATGTTAGAAAAAAAAATCAAAAAGGACAAGGCTAGGAAGGACACCTGATGATGAAGATGGAGAAGTACCAGTAGGTGGCTTCAAGAAAGCAGGCACAAGGCTGGGGACTATTGACAAAGTTCCCAGCTTCTTAACCTGCTTTGGAGGTGTCCAGGACCTTTAGAGTCCTCTTTGCTCAGGCCTCCAGATTTGATCAACAGAAGGACATGTGGGAACGAAACAGCAGCATTGTTTTCATTTCCTGGACAATAGGCCCCAAATAAAAGGACAGAACACAGAGAGACTACACAAGTAACAAATACCTGGAGTTAACATTAGGAGGCAGAAAGATCCAGCCTGGGAGGGAAGCAAGAGATCTAGGAACAAGGGGAGAGGCAGCAGACTAAGAACTTCCTGTCCAGACTAAGGGTAAAGCCAGGCAGCGGATCCAATTAAGGTTCACCCAAAACAGGCATGCCATGGCCATGGTCAGC